TTTTGGCTAAGATCATGTGTAGTATCTGTTCTTTTCAGCTTAATATCTGAAACGCTGCTCATCGAGCAGCCAGTATATTAAACTGATTTTTGGATCTGGGCCATGGAATAGGGGCTTGCCTCGTCCTGGCCACGGGTTGGCCCGGTATTGCACTACCTCCGGGATTCGGCCCACTCCCCATCTGGGGAAATAATTAAACCAAAAACAGAATGAAATTGGCCTAGGATCAGGCATTTTTGTTGATCTTATCCTTATGCCTTAGCAGGAACAAAATCATAGGTTGACTTCATATATTTGTCAGTCATTCTTCCTAAAGTGCTGTCAGATTACTGCCCAGTCAAGTAACCTAAGTAGTTCATGAACATGAGATGAAAACTCTTACAGTCAGTTATATTGTCTAAAATGTAATGCAGTTGATCTCTAAGCTGATGTCTGGACATTTTTAGGCCTAAATATCTGATGTCACCCTGTGCCCTGTAATACTAAGTTATGAACAGTCAGTCTTCCTTTTAATTTGTTACCATAGTCATCTCCAATTTGAAGGCAAATTACTTCCCCTTGTCAAAGACCCTCCTTTCCCTATTTCAAGGCAATGAATGGTAAATGTGTGTTTGTACACTATCCATAAAGAGTATTAGGGTACATGTACAGTACATGTGTAGCTCATCCAGTCTTCTGTTACTGTAGTGTTCACGCTCCTGTGTTCCAAGTAGATGGCCCCTAATTGAGAACACATGGGGTGTGTACCTTCTAAAGAGGTGCCTACTTTGACAAATTATCCTGACAGAAATAAATGAGCCTTCTGTTTGACTTCTTGGTTAATCGTTTCCATTCTGTTCTCAGATTGGATCTGTTAACTCGATACAAGCCTCTACTGGAATAGAACCTGGAATGCCACACTCCTTTTATGACTTGTGCATATGAACTTGTCATTTTTTTTTAATAAGGAAAGGGGAATAATTTTCCTTTCTTACTGTGACCATGGCCATATATTTCAGGGTCTAGATGTAAACCTCACATGTGCACAGTGGATAACCAATTTGTCAGTGTGGTATTTGTTTATACATGTACATGTACGTCTATATTTGGTTGTTAACACAAATTCTTGCATATAGAGCTGTACATGTATCACTCACTGTTTATTTAAAAGACCAGCAATTATCTAAAGGCTTGCCTCCACAGTGTATGACTTATATCGATATTTTTTAACCATGGTCAAAGTAAACAGTGTACAGAATCTGAAATACTGCTGGGTTAGTATTGTTATGCATGTCAAGTGCATGTACACAATACCAAATGTCATTACTTGATGTATTATTGTACAGTTTCATATCATATTAATTCAGCTAGTTCCATTTTGCATGAGTGTAATTTATAGAGTAAACAAAACTAACCAGGCTGGGCCTTTTCCTTTTGTTGGTGTGGAATTCTTATTTCTTCGGTCGAATCATGGAGGTAAATTTACCTCCATGGTCGAATTGGCCTTTTAGGAGTCTTATGGGCTCATTTTAGCCATTTCCCCTCGCAGAGTTTCATAAGTTCAAAAATATCCTCTTATATCTTAATGTTGTCCTGGTATCTTGGGGGGAAAAAGGAGCCCATGAACTTTTGGGGGATATTTTTGTACAATGTAGATGAAGTTTCAACTTTCATGGATAATGGGAAAATTAGTTATCAAAACCTATAAAACCCATCTTTCTCCACCTTTTCCTTTCACCCTGCTGTCGACCTTTGGCCATTGAGTGAAGGTTCTGAGAAACTTAAGTGGGCAGTGATTCATGTTGGATCTGGGTAATTCCATGGGTAACACGCTGACATATTGGAAGGGATTCTCACAAGGATATCCTGTTCTATCATTTGGTGGCGGTTATAAGTTAGGACTTGAAACCCTGGCAGTCTTTCTTCATTGGAAGTGTTCCTGTGTCATGGAGATGACTTTTGAAAAATGTGGGCTTTGCAAGGGCAGGTAAAGCTATGTGTTGCCGGGGTGACAGTCTGACGCCTTTGCAACCTCCTTTTGGGGTATGGTGTGGAATAAAAGCTCACCTAAGTTGGCAAGTAAAAAATAACCATACATGCTAGATATTGCAAAGATGGCCTTGCTGTCTGTTAATTTTGGTTGTTTTCTAACATAATTGCCTTCGCAAGTCAGTACCCAGCATTACCATTTTCAGTGAAGAACAAAATTTGAAACCGCCAGGATAACATTTTCACGGAATCTAAGGCGCCCATAGATAAGACCAACACAATACAGTACAGCAGTCTTCCACTTACCAGATGACTGACTTTTAATCCGGTCGCTGACGTGTACCCATTTTTTTTTCTTTCAAAATACCCAGGGCAGGTGCATTCCTTGCTTTTGTTCCCTACACTTTGTCAAAATGGGACTCGAAATGTTCACCTATTTAGTGTGTGACTGAATGGCATAAAAATAAACCTCTCTTATTGCAGCTCACTGCATTGAGGACAGTACAATGACCCTAGAATGCCAATTCATTATTGCTACCTCAGGCCACTTTTGTGATTGTGCTGAATAACAGGTTGTATCAGGATGCAGTATCTCTTCTCTGATTTGAAGAGTTTAACAGTCGGATGACTTTACCCTCTGGCAATAACATGTACAGAAGCGCTTTGTTTGTCTGACTAACGGGGTATTCCTCTACTTTTCCCCCTCGATTCCCCTTGAGTCTCCCCTTAAAGTTTTTGTCATCAAATCATAATTCAGAGATCGTGAACATGTCATATAGCTTGTGGTCTGCAAAATTCAGAGGCAGTTACCTAATCACCCGATGAATTCCAACAGCAGAAACAAACAAAAATTTTTTTAATTTTATTTCCTGCTCTGATTTAGAAATCACTTTATCAGTGAATTCAGCAAGGTTTATCCCTCAAAGAACCCGGTTGTTTTGGACCAACTCACAGTGGGAGGGTGGGGTAATTCTCCAAGAACTCAGCTGCCACATACCCAATTGATTTGAAACTTCCCATGTAAAGACACTCATTATCAAGTTTCAAGTCGATATGGTGCGGTGTTTTGATGTTATGTTCATTAAGTGGTAACGTCAAGAGTGCAATTAGTTAGTTCAGTCATGAAAAGAAGGAATGGTTGGCCAGCCTGACTTAGCCCTCCGTTAAATGTGAGGGAAAGTGTATCTTTTTCTCTGAACTGGAATCAAAAATGCGCGCATGACTTGAATATTTCATAATGTCTGTTAAAATCAGGAATTCTCTGATAATAGTTAACGGCAGATGGTCCCAGACACATTTTGGTGTTGGTGCACAGAGGGAAGAAGTCAGGCATTAACACTGTGCAATGAAGCAAGGTGTATCACACTTATACTTTGTATCACTAGCGTAGATTTTATGATGCTCTGTTTGTGAGGTGAATGTCCTTTTATTCCAATCATCCGTTCTCTGCTCATTTTAAGCATTTTTCTTGTGCATTTTTCTGGGGTGTTTGTAAAATGATATCGTAATCGGATAATTTCGGACTGTTAGGGTTAAAAGCTTTTCTGTTACATGTACCTCACCCTATTTTCTTATACATTGTGCAAATATTCAAGCATAGCAACATACAATGTATGCTTGAAATGTAATTTCACACAAAAGCGGATAACTTGTCATTCCATGACCAACCTCATTATTACTTGAAAATGAGACATTTTTCAATAAATGAAGTGTACAAGCATTTTTTCCCCTTTTTTCAAAGCACAAATAAGAATGAGTTCAGTTACAAAATGACATATCTACATGTACATGTATTTCCACTTTTGCATAGAGCTGCCCAAATACACATGGAGAAAAAAATGTTACCACCTTATTTTTTGGTTTGAAACTTGAAATTGATAACACTGTGTCATATCAATAGTCCTTTGCAAAATGAAAAACCCACTTAACCCTGACTTCAGTCACAGGCGGATCCCAGGAGGGAGGAGGGGGCCTTGCCTTCTTCTTAAAGAGACAATTTGTTAAACTGAAATGGAACTTGATTTTGGTCACATTTCATTGCCTTTCTTCCCCCAAAGAGTTTAAATTGTCCCCCCCAAAAAAAATAATGAGCCTCAAACCCCTGAAAGACCTTAAAGATTAACTGGAGAAATTGTCCATTATTTTTGCCCTCCCCAAAAAGCCTCCTCCCCTTCTCCACATCAGTGATTCTGGATTTGCCCTGAACCTTTGATCTCCAAATGTTCAACACATTAATGACACATATTTTGTTTGCTCTTTCAAGGTTCATAGCCACATTGTTTGCATCAAGTCCCTCCACTTTCCTGTCTTCTCTCATGAATGATCTTTTTTCCCCTGCAGCATGAGAAAATTCGGTTCACTTTGACACTGGACTTGCATCTCACAGTTTCTTGTTAGCAACGCTCAGCACTGTTGTTTTACCTTCCAGGAATGCACTCAGTCAGCAGGGGCAGTGACCTTGCGAGGGTTTGACAAGGTCAGAGTTCAAATCAGTGCAGAGACCTCCAACATTCAGCACCAGAGACTGCGACTGAAACTGGTGGAGCCCAAGGTGGGTCCTTGTATTTATCCTGAGCCAAGCATCTTCCCTCACTCACTATGTCTGCTGTTTTGGAGACTCCGTTTAAACCTCATAGTTACGTCAATCTGCCCAGTGCCCAGACAGATCAAGCATGATGTAAAAAAATGTGAGGGTCACATGACCACAGCAAGGGAGAGGAAGTTGGTTCAGTGTACACTTTTATACTTCGATATTCTTAGTAAGCCAAGATTTTACCATCTTGCTAACAGTCGGTTGTACATGACATGTATTCTTTAATACTTGTTGGGGTTGTTCGTAAAGAGTGCATGAATTTGTACTTTTTAATTTTCTGAAATACATTTTTCCTGACTTTACAAAACAAATGTAAAACTGCTGTCAGTAATTGATAAATGTTATTGTGGATGACTGCACCATGCTCGCATACCGAAAATTTTTGGAGGTTTTCTGATCTCAGCTTTGAAGTCCACCCTTATCTTTAAACATATCAGATAGGATTTTTAAATGTCACGACATGCCTTTAAGATGCTATTCAAAAAAATGTTTCAAGTATTCAACAACTGTCTGGTTGGTTGGAGTAAAAGCATTCCAGCAGATGACTCCAGATGGCACAAGTGTGATTAGTCCAACTGGAATTTCCCAAAATGAATTCCCAGTGGGCTTTAATTGGAAAACTAAATATAGTGAATTCATAGAAGCCAGATGGTCACATAGTATCAGGTCGGTGCTGTGCTGGGCAATATGCATTGAAATGGTGTAGACTTGGAGCATGGTTCCAATATTTCACGATGGAGAGAACCAGATTTTCGTCCGTAAAAAGTACTTAGAAATCTACCTAGTTCCAGACCAAAGTCTCTCCTGTTGTGGTAATACATCATGTGCCTGGCAGGGCGTTCAGCATGTTTGGTTATTCAAACAACACACAATGCAGACACTGATTTAATCACACCCTTTTTGGCAGGTGCACGAATTACTTCAGTTTAAAGAGTGAACAAAATTAATTCATGAATACTGAGAAACTGAAAATGTCCCCTAGAAAACCAACATAAAAAGATCATCATCCAACCAAAGGCATTTCTAAAAAGTCGATAGTTTTTAATTGGTTTTGATTTCAAAATCGCATTTCACAGGCCCCTTTGAATGTGTAATGCTACCTTTTCTTCCCAAGCTCTAAGATTCTCTGTCCCTCCCCATTTTTCTAGGTTCCAGGTTTCAGTGTTGACCCTCTTCCCCAGACTGCTGAAGAGGCCGAGTCACAGCCCCCACCCTCTAAGAAACCAAGATGGAAGAGTTCATAGACACTTTGGGCTACAGATTCCATCAGGAGAACAGATTACACTAATGGGGTGAAAGTCCTGCTCATGCAGTCAGAAGAAAGTTCATCTACGTCAGTTCATAGAGCTGTTTTGCAGTAGATTTTGCTGTTACATCGACTCTTCAAGCATGTGTTAAAGACCAGTTTCACAGTTTGGTTCATGTGGTCATGTATATTTCAGAAATTTCAGCTTTTCCAATTCATTATGAGGAGTATCAACAGGAAATGAAATAAACTACTTATTTCATTTCATTGACAACTCCAGCCTAATGAGATAACAGCCATGAATTGCTCATCTCTGAGCCCGCTGGGTGAAGATAATGTTCAGAGTAGTGTAGATCATGGTTCTGGACAGAAAATTAACCCAGACTGCAATTGCTGCGGTAATTACCACATCCACAACTTTCTGGTTGCTAAAAACAAAAATGATTCCATTACTCTGACATTTTGGTGATTGTTGGAAATTTGATGGAGCTAAAAAGTAGTTGCAAGCTCCAGGTTTTAACAAAATTTCAGCACTGAAATATTTTTTGTGCTGGTAATGAAAGGCATTTTGGACCGTAGTATTTTTTAATCTGATTTTTTTTTTACATAAGTGGAGCTTATCAATGCATTGTACAACACACATTTTCATCAGTGTCAAATGATTTCTTTACAGTCTGATTCCAAGGCTAAATAAAGCTGATAATTACTGCTACTTTGGACTGTCTGTTGTGTACTAATAAGTTTGTCTAAAGTTACTCCTGGTACAAAAGGAAGGGAGACATATATGCATTTTTCCAAATTTTATTAGTCATTGAACCAAACAGGCCTTTACATGTAGCTCAACTCTTTTTATGGATGAACAGGAATGCAAAGTGGGAAATTTGTCCAGTACTTTTCCACATTTGGAAGATTACTGTACCCATACACAAAAGTACAAGTACATGTGGTGCATTTTGACAAGTTGAGGTTTCTGTTTCATCATTTAGATACTGTTGAACTAGCAGGTCCAAGGATGTAGGTGTTCATACAAACACATGCTGGCTTACATGTCCAGGACCAGTACAAGGTTAATTCTGCATAGCTTTCATAAACAATGAGATGTTAACAGCCTAACACTGAATCTTATGCGTTTTTACATCCGTGGAAGGGGTAACCTGTATGCCTTTCCTTTCCAATGGTGAAAAGCTGCAGGAAACCATAAAGGAACATTTTGTGTCTGTCTAGCTCAGTTGCTGATTAGGAGAAGTGCATGGTAATTGGTCTTGAAACCAGTCTCTGTTCACTTGTGCCAATTGTTGTCACAACTCGGTGCTCTTAGCATTCTTGGAAGACCCTGGTCCTGCTGTCTGAGCGGAGAAGGCACACACCAACAACTGTCCAGAACATGATATGTCCAATGAGTTTCCCACTGTCTCTGTAATGACTGGCGAGGCCACAGCATCGATGCATTGCATTGTCTAATGTTTCTAACATGGCATTACTCCATCCATAACTTTTTCTTTATTTTTACAAAACTCCCTTCTGATTCATACAAATATGACAGCTGCTATTTGCTGTATAATTTGTTTGCAAGAAATAAGGCAATTTCTCGTACATCAGTGAATTGTTCATTTCTTTAGCTTGACAATCTTACTCTGCTGTGTTTCACACAAGAAGCTGTGAGGAAATAGGCATCACTCAATTTGCTCAACACAACAAATGATAATCCAACATTTAACTGGAAATACATTATGTAACAGGAACATTAAAACAAATACAGTTGAAACAATGTCTGCGTTCAGCAACAGGATAAAGTTGATCACTTTTAACCAAAAACGGTAGAAGCTTGAGCCTCCGTTATGTACCGTAAAGTACAGGAAACATAACTGTTAAAGGTGTGACTTTCTGCCAGTTACTGTATTTGAGTATTCATTTTTGACATGGAGTCTACATGAAATGAATGCGATAGACAAGAATAACAGAGACAAGTCCTACCAGCACAAATGTCACACATCTGTGATATTTTTGTGCAAATGCAATGAGAAAGTGTATACAAATATTGCAGAACATATGTTTTAGTGAGTGAAAACCCCCCTGGGACTTTACCAGTCTAATCACATAAGTACATGTACATAAGTACATGTACATTACAGTAGGAGTACATTATAGGCCCATGGCTCTCAACATTACAGAATGAAAGAACACTGGATAATTGAACTAACACATAACAGCAAAAATAGTTAAGAACTTTTTAGGAAGAACAATGTAGAAATTAATTTGCCAACTACAAGTGCTAAGTACAAGTCCATGGAGACTGTCATGTTAGTTCTTCTTTTCTTGAGCAATTGCTGAAAAAAAAATACATGCAAGTGAATCTCATTAGTTCCTGCAGAAGTTCTTCAACATGTAATCAGTAAGACATCACCACCTTATAACCACCAATGTTATACATGTATAACCCCAAACCTGCCAATGAGCCAGTTTGATACCTATATACGTCTCAAAAAAACGTTAAAGACCACTTTTTTTTTAACTTGTAATTTTTTCCAAGCAATGAGTGGGTCTAGTTCTTTCATTTTTTGTTTGTCTTGATCGTGTTCTCATTGGAACAAAAAAAAAAAAAAATGTTTCAAAACATCAAATGCACATTTTCTCAAAATGGGCAGTTTCAAGGAAGAGTCAAATAACAAAATACAAAGTGGTCCTTAATTTTTTTGAGGTGTGTATTTCAAACAGTTATTCAAGAACGAAGCATGTGAGCATGTTCATCATGTGAGTTGGCATATGGTGGCACTTATCGAGTCCAGCCTTGTGCATGCGTGAGGCCGTTCTGGAAATGACTTCATTTTGGACATGTGTTGTTGGAATACCAAACTGGCTTCATTGTAGGGATATGCTCAGAATTTTTCCTCTTATTATTTGAGCACCTGTGTTACTCCTTACAACAAAGTAACTTGCGACAATGGTAATGGTGTGTAAATTCCTCACTGCATTTCCAGTTTAATCCTGTACTCACTTTCTTTGCTAGGGAGCGTGTTCTTCTCCTCAGTTTCCGTTTTCTTGAGTTTTGTTTTGTCAAATGATGTGACTTCAGATACGTCTGGTTTGTCGCCCATTTTGATGATTCTGTCCTACAAAAAAAGGAATGGGTTCACATAAGGGCAAGTTCAATCTGTGACAATTTGTTACCCACAGGTCAATTGTGCCTGGTGCCCTGTACATGTATATATTCATGCATAGGTTACCAGTCAAAATGAACCATTGATTGACAATTCATCACTGATTTATAACGGGTTTTGCCCTTACCCAACGTATGTATTAATAAACACTGTATGCTCAGTGCTTGTCCGAGAGCTTGCGAAAAAAATTCACAAGCTTACTTGGGTGGGACTCGAACCCACGACCTCCTGCTTACTAGAGCAGATGTCTTACCCACTCGACCACTGAGCTTGCCGTGGTCGGCTGGCCGGTCCGAGTCAAGTGTAGCAGCGGGTACTGCGAACTATTTCAAGATGTATTTTTGCGTTGGGGAGATGTACCTTAAAAAAATTCACCACTGATTGAACATGGCGGAAGCTTCTGAGCCTTAGGGCTGTAAATAAGGCCATGTTTGTAAAGGTTCTAAAAGACTGACCAAAATGAGATGTGACCCAAAATTGTAATATACTATATACTAGCACGAGTTCAGAACTGCTTACACAACCACCATGTCACTGACATTTGGGAAACTATGAACCCTATCCGATCACATTTCTTGTGCATTCAGACTTAGCACAAGGCAGCATATTTAGTCTCTTGTTCAGAACTTCTCTGGATCAAGAAATATGTTTGAGAAAGGACAGCATATAGACTAATCCAATTTGACACTGTGATGGCTTCGCACTCATGCACATGTGCATTTGGCAAGTCATGACACCCAGTTGGTCAGAGGCATGTAATGCATGCGTACCACCTGTCCATGAGCAGTGCGTTACCACACATCATGACTTTCAATTCTGATTGTCGCATTACACTGCATGCATTTTATCAAATCCATACCAATTTTTATGGGGGGGGGGGTTGATAAGAGTTGCCCAAGAGCTTAATGAGACTTTGGATCTGTGGTCCTGACTCAAAGTGTACCAGATACAAAAAATAGGTATTGTTCCTAGGGCAATATTTATTCAGGGCAGGGTAGCTTCATGGGGCATCTATTTCTCAAGTTGCATTCATGAACCAAGAGGGGTGTATGAAATCAAGAATTAAGTCCGATAGGATACAATAGACAAATTGCACCCATTAAGTCACATGATTCTAAAGTATCGAACATCAGCAAACACGGCACCCACCAAAGTAAAGCATGTCATAAGGGTCATTTACCAAAAAAAGGCCGACGGTCAGTGAAGTGCTTAGTCAAGTGATGTGATGAGCACTGTACCAAAAATCAGCTTTTTGTTGGTAAACAGCACCGTCTTTAGGCAACACTTTGCTATGGAAGGATGTCGTGTTAGCTTGATACCTTAGCAGGCACAATTGCTCTATCATTCTGTACAAGTTCCATACGCTGACATTCACATTTCCTTCCAGTGTATTAGAAACCATCAGAAAGTGACTGTCCTAAAAAGTCCAATTCAGCTGTGAAAATATAAAAGCATTTACAGTACCAAGAAATCACTTTTGGACCAGTCTCATGGGGTTTATGCACACATGGTGCCAAGTGAGGTCTGCGTATGGGAACTCTGTCCAATTTCACCAATTCAGAGGACACTGAACTGGAATGGCATGTAACAGTTGCCTGACCAATGAAAATACATATCAGTAGTGGTGTTCAATCTACCACTTCCTGTGGTATGAAAGGAGGTAACAGCTGATACTAGTCAAAACAACCAAAGCATGAAAACTACCAAAGAAACAACTTCAGTTTTTCCAGATTTATTTCTCAATAAACAGGCTTTGAGCTTCCTAATTTTCAAAGGTACATGAAGTGGAATTCACCAGATCCTTTGTAGATTTTGAAACTGGTTTTGCCAAGATGGCACAAGTGCTAGTTTGTCCAGGAATCAGGGTCACATTTCCCACAAATGCCAACGGTTTGCATTGTATCTCACGACAGTACAGCACTGTGATTTGAACCAAATGATATACACACATCAACCTCAGCTGGTGACAACTGTTGACCCACGTTACCAAAAATATGGCTCAGTTTGCTCAAATCATGAAAATATTACTGATGAAAGAAAAAGCAACCACATTGTCATAAACTAGTTCAGCCAAATGCAGCCGACAAAGTGCAGGGACCCAGTGGGTTTAGGAATTTGCTGTTTTTAATATCGCTTAACTAACCAGTCTCAGTAAGCAGTTTCTGTATGCTCACTCAATCAATCAGAGATGCTTGGCCAGCTCTCTTAATCTTGGAAGACCACAGCATATCCTGGTCGGAGAAGGCACTCAATGACAATGCTGATGTGTTTGAGAACTCGCTTTCTTTCCCTCCGAAGGAAGTTGGCCCATCATACTCAGTTGTGGTGGGACACTGGACGACGGCTTGGCTAAGGTGCCTTGCACCAAGCAGAGTTGCGTTTCTAACATGGCATACTCCATTCTTAAACTTGTTAACTAGCTTCTGTTAATTTATACAATGGTTATGAGCTGCTACAGGTTTGCTTTATCTGAGCAAGTAAGGCAACTATGTTGGATCACTGACTTGTCATTTGTTCAGCAGGGGCAAACTCCCTTGAAGACACTTATCCAACTTCATACACTGGTACTGTGTATTACTTATGTTACAAGATTAAATGACAAATTCAATAATCCATGTGTAGCATTGCATTATTAGAAATAAGATGCCTCAAGTAAACTTGGTACATGCTACTTGTAAATGACCAAGTACTTTGGAAGTTAACATGAGATCAAGTTCCAGTGGTACAACTCAAAATAGCTCTTTCTATCTGCATACGATCAACTTCATTCCTGATGGGATCAAGTTCAAGTGGTGTACTGCAACAAATCAAAACAGCTATTTGTGTCTGTATACGATAGACTTGTCTCCTGTTATACAGAGTTTAATGAAACCAGACCCTTTAACCAACGTATAAAATATGAAAAACAAAGACAACTTAGAAATAATTTGAACAATTAGCTAACTACAGGTACTAAATACAAGTTGGAGAATGCCATGCTAGCCCTGCTTTTCTTGTTCGATTGCTGAAAGAAAAAAGAATCAGAAATTATCACTAAGTATCAAAGTATGTTTTGATGAACAAACTATATACTGATTTTAGATCATTCACATGTTTCCATTACTTTTAAGAAAAAAATCCCATTACAAAAAAAAAGTTTTCCAGTTTGATGATATTCTGTTAACTACAAACAGATTGCTAAATGTTATATTTTAAGGTTTTGTTTCACTAAAAGCAGAGATTTGTACCACTGCATCTGTAATCAATCTATCAAGTGTCAATTTTAGTGATGAGGTCAGAAGGAAAATATCACTTTTCAAGCCAGCAAATCACGATTGAAGTGGCCAACTAGAACTACAAAGAAACATGCACTTAACAGAAATGAATGGGGGGGAGGGCGGAAGGGCATGGAATAATCCATGGCATAATGCTTGGGCTGTACATACTTTCTTTGGTCGGAAGTGGGTTCTTCTCCTGAGTCGCTGTCTTCTTCAATTTTGACTTGTCAAATGTTTCAACTTCTGAAACGTCTGGTTTGTCACCCATGTTGATGGTTCTGCAAAATGATGAACAGGGAATTGGTGACTTGCAGCAGAGTGGTTTTTGAACTTTGAAGAAGTTAACCATGTGCAGTCCTATCACAGGTTTTCAGGCTCCAAAAAGGGATCATAATTAATGAATTATCAAATACAATTAAAACACAGCAAAAATTTACACTAATGTCAATTTACGAGAAAATTTAGCACAAATGACAAATTTCTGAATCATGTCTTTAGAAAATCTGCAGCAAAACCAATGGAGGGTTTTTGAGCATTACTGGGAACCAAAGATTTTTATTAATTTCTCATCTTGCTGTTTTGCTAAACAGAAAAGCATGCAGAGTAATAAAATAAAATGCCTAGAAATACAACTTAGTCGCATACACACCTGCTCACTTCAATATGGAGATGATGTCGGGCTACTGTGAAATGGCATGCAATTGTTAATGCGAGTAGCAAGGCTGTGCACACTACAACTAAAAAGAAAGTGCTTGGGAAAAAGGTTTTTAAAATTAGTCTATGTGATTCTGCTACCAAGCCAGAAAAAAAAGGAATGCAGCAACTGGGTGTGTTCAATAGTGCAGTAAAGCAGTACTGGCATACCCTGTACATCTTTACTGTTGATAGTACGCATACGTATGCATAGTACTGTCTAACTGAACACACCCGTTTAGCTCAGCAATAGGACAAAAATAATAGAACAGGTAGTTCACAAAATCACAGAACTGTCCACCATCACATATTTAAACATTCTCTTTGGGCAGAGAATGTGTTACATGCAAGAGCAGTGTCCAGGAGGGGATCACATCATAAAAAGTGCACACTGCATTTTTTTATGGCAAGGACAGCATTGTTTCATGTGAGAATTGCAGAGAAAGGGTAGATGAGATGGATGAAGAAATTGCGAAACCTGTAAAATTACTAAAATAGAATATGACATCATATCCTAAAATTAAATGCAACTTACTATTCTACTATCAATGCTATACTTCCTCATCCTAATCACAAGTCTGACAGCAAGAGGTTGACCTTTTATTGATGACTGCACTTACAATCTGTATACCCCAATATTTGTTTCCAGATGGCATATGTTAATTGTCTTAAGTACATGAATGTCATGTTGGAACGACAGTTTATGTAATGCATCTGATGGTCCTTTCTCTGCAACCTAAGTAGTACCCGATATAGTACTGTATTCAAATAGTGATCATTCTAAAACCAGGCTTGATCATCGTAAGCAAGCTATTGTCTGGAAAATGGTCTTCCAATGTTCATATGAACAATGTGATTTCCGCAAATTTCACAGCGTTTACCTACCAAAGGTTATTTTGGATCATTGTGAAATCCAAAAATTAACAGTAGGAGAGAGAGATGTAAAACATCAAAAGACGCCTACTTCAGCCGTTTTTGGAATGCTGGGTGATAATTAGCACTGGCAATTGGCAAGTTCACATTTTAGCCACAGCATTGTGCTGCTTGAGTAAACTGTACCAACAACTGCGAATATTGCAAATCTAAATGCCCTGCTAGGGTCCATACACAGGCATTTATGTAACTGACTAGGGAACTTGATTTCCTAAACAATGGACTCAAATAAATATAAACACCAGGTTCCTTTTTCCTAAACCTAAGCCTAGTGCAACACTCTGAACTAAGAGAAATTTAACACAGGCCTGGAGAACAAAAATAGGCCCTATTATGATGTAGGCCTACCATCATAAAATTCAAATTTCAATGAAAAATCAGAAAGTTCCTGTAAATGCCAGGTTTGAGTTCTACCTTTTATTTCTCATCAATCCATTCTGTCAAGTGGTAATTTTACTGATTTAACGATGGGCCATATCATACCTAATAACCCTTCAGAACTACACTAAAACCCACGATTTTTAAAGATACACTACATCTGGAGGGCTGGGCCTACATTGTAAAAGGCAGAGCCTCTACATACCAAGTGTGCACTCAACCATGACTGTCATGGGTAGGCCTATGTTGAGTATTGTTTCGAACCATCCCGATTTTTCCTACACGCGTCCCTAGGATTTCTCCATCAGACCAACTGGATATATTTGGCTACGGCCAGCCAGATTGTGCGTAATCTTCATAGGTACTTATGCTAAAGCCTAGGCTTTTGCCAAGTCAGTTCAACTATGTAGATAAACCTATAATTTATGCCAGACTCTGAGAATGCGAACTGCGTAAACCGCGGCACTTCCATCATTAACCAAAAGAACACCAAACGAGTGGGCTGCAGCTGGGGACTGGTCCTAGTTGTGTGAAGGAGAGGTGGGCCTAAACTACAGAAAGAATAAAGCACCTACAGTTACAATTGCAAGCTAAGTGAATTCTTGGAGCTGATTAATTGGGATTTTAGTACATTTAATTACACATGACGCAAAATCGGTTAGTAAATCCACTCATACTATCGTTAGGGCTATTGCCATGATTGACATATCATCTGCTGACAACGCCCACATGCAGGACACCGAGGGAATTTCCCACAAAAGAACAGTTAGGCCTAGCATTTGTCGTGCCATGATCGTGCGCAGATTGATTTTTAAAACGCCATCTAAAACTACAGCGTCTGTAAAGGCAACAGTATACTTTCAAGCAATGAAAGTGTTATTTACCTAGGCTTGTGTGCTCCGGAAAAAACTTCAGTATCTCCTTCGCGGAACGTGAAATAAACTCGTGTGCGATTAATGTGCTCAGACAATCTTATATATAGGCCTTATATCGCACATCACGCCGCCGCGCCCGCCTTTTTCATATGTACAAAAACTTTGTGTTGAGATTCATACGCATATATCAATCCGCGCAAGAACGAAGATCGGATGGCTTGTATGCTAGGCACGTCCCAGCCTCATCACCGCTCGTTTTCTGTAACCGATATGCAAATTACCAAAAACGAAAACTAAGGCATGGAGGCAAATAACTTTTAAAACAATCTGCGCACCTTCATGGAGAAACCCATCTTTTTTTAAAGAAGCCTTCGCTATGTCCTGCTAGAGTTGTAATGTGTTTTATGTTCATTCTTTAATTGTTCTTTATTCCAGGTAATTTTTGTTGTAGTCTGTTTAAATTAATTTTTTCATATTACGAGTGCATGCCCTGGTACGCAGAAACACAATAAGAACTTTAAAGAAGCATTACTGGTTCTGCATTTAGTCTTTTACCAAAGCGTTTTTTATAACCTTTTCAGAATAAAAATGCATAGCAAAAATGCAGTGATGCGGCCCTTTGCAAACGCGTGTGAATGTAGTGCTGAATATATTAATACGTCATAACCTATTCTTTGTCATCGCACGCGCACTGATGCAGTCGACTTCGACCGCCATTTTATTTTCGCAACCCTTTTTTCTGTGTTGGACATCGACTAACAAAAGAGAATCATATAAAATCCTGTATTAATGCCTCTAAAAATGGGTGAACCGACATCAGCGAGTGGAACAGGTAAGGTGGTGTATTAACGTTGTCATGATTTCTTTCTTTGTACCTTTGTTTTTCTAAGAACGTCGGAAAATCAGCAAGTTACTAGAAAAAATACGACCATCATTATCAATATCATGATGATCATCGCTGAAGCGTGAAGGGCCGGCATCTAAGTGGCATAGGCCTAACGTTACGTGAAGTTGAAGACGAGTCCTAGAATTAAAAAAAAAAACTCATAGGGGCCTTCCACTTACGTTTCAATTTCACTTAACTTTCAGTTTTAATAAGATATCAGCCATATCAGCAGTTCGAATTGGGTAGTCATTCATGTCATTAGCCCAAGGCGAGCCTGGGAACCCCTAGCCTCACTACTAGTGTGGCACGGACTCTCACTCCCGATCCATCCTAAACCAGACATCCGTATACGCAATTTTGTGTCGGCGTACTGAACATTTTCGGCGCACCCACTTATCACCGTGGGCGCAATTTCTTTTGCATACGAACATGATCCTTGACCTTTCCGTTTTCTAAAAACTTTTTTTTTTACTTTTCTAGTTTTTGCAGCAGTAAAATATTTGTTTTACTTTTTTACTGGGATAATTTATTTAATATGTTTTACTTTGTCAAATTTATGTTTGAATATATTTTTTGATTAATGTGATATCAGACACGGCTGAATTATCTCTGAAAAGAGCCGGTTGGTTTGACGATTCTGGTTTGTCTACATGTACAGCGATGGTCCAGTGAGATGCTTGCACTTGGCAATTCTGAGTGGATTACAACTAACCAATCAAATTACAGACGAACTGAAGATGAAAATGATCCCTAGAGAAATTTGCATAACAAGTACGGTGTGTCTTAATGAGAAGTGTACCCAGCCCAGTTGTTGGCTTGTGTGCCGTAAATCTAAAGTTCAAACACCACCTTGGATACATGTATCGCCAAAACATCAAAAGGGTGGCCGTGCGCATTGAGCCTTGCTGCACGGGCAAAGGCTGTGGTTGAATTTGGAGTGCCTTCGCACTTCACTTTGGAACCCCAATTATACTCTAATTGATTTAAAAAGCCACAATTAAAAGTAACTTCTGGTCGACAAACATTTTGCACGACCTTTATTACAACATATAACCTTATCACAATCTTTCAGAATTATACGGGCCTTTTTTTCCAGTTTTACTGCCCGTTTTTGGAAAGGTCAAATTATAAATTCTGAGAAAATGTGAGTTTGTTACTGATAATCAGCCATGCAAATTTGACTCTACCGTGTGTCATGTGAACTTAAAACACAGTTTCGTCTCATGATTTCCCTCAAAACTGAAAACCCTGCCCTGTTTCAAATCATCAACCCTACACTGCTCTTTTAAGAACGTCCTGTTCGTCCTTGTGCCATAATGTAAAAAAAACATGCTTACCGACATTTCACTCTTGGATTCCACAATGATTGAAAGGTTATCAAATTGCATTGGTAACCTCAATGGACACTATAATTCAATTTCTTTCAGCAGGTCTTGCTGAATTAGCCCACCGCGAGTATCAAGCCGGTGATTATGACAATGCAGAGAGGCATTGCATGCAGTTGTGGGCACAGGAGCCAGACAACACGGGGGTACTTCTGCTGCTGAGCTCAATACACTTTCAGTGCCGGAAGCTTGACAGGTGAGCCTTTTGTGAGCATTACAGCACTTCCTCTGGATGCTATCCTAGCAGGGAAGCAAAGACGTTCTGGCTCTTCAGAATCTGCTGAGTTTTGAAGGGTATTAGTCAAATGGGTGGAATGGTTGGGGAGTGTCCTGCCAACAAGTTTAATGGGTTATAAGTAAAGAAAGACCTTATCTGTACACCGTTTTGTAACCATTTTATATAGTTTACATTTATGGAAATAATTTTTAATGTTTACCTTCGAAATGGGCTGTTTCAGTAAAAGCTGCTCAGGTAGCCAGAATTGCCGTTTCACAGTCAAGCATTTTATATTTTTATATCATCACTGAACAGGTCCGCACACTTCAGTACCCTCGCCATCAAGCAGAACCCAATGCTAGCGGAGGCCTACTCCAACCTGGGCAACGTCTTCAAAGAGCGGGGCCAGCTGCCCGAGGCCCTGGAGAACTACAGGCACGCTGTGAGGCTAAAGCCGGACTTCATCGATGGCTACATCAACCTGGCTGCAGCGCTGGTAGCGGCAGGAGACATGGAAGGCGCTGTGACAGCATACATACAAGCACTGCAGTACAATCCTGTAAGTTGGTTGACAAAACTGGAGGCAGTTGGGCCAGGCAAAAGTGGAGGATTGAGGGGTCAGAGTACGAACATTTTGTTAGGCTAGCCTAACTCACTCACTCAAGGACTGCCCAAGTTTTGCGTTGACAAAAGTTCCTCCAAAGAGGAAATTCTATTCCTCTGAAGCTTAAGTTTTCTCTCCGTTGGAAAAATAGTGACCACATTTTCCCTGTCGTCCTGTGGGTCTTGGTCCATTGTCATATCTTTATTTAATTTTCTTGAAATGAGCTCATATTCTATGAAGGGTTATTTACTGGAATTTATAGCTAAAAGAGGACAAAATTCATGGCACTGATGGTTAGAGATATCTTTAATTTTGCAAGTGGTTAGACTGTAAAGGATGTCCTCATACAGTCATTACAAAATGGTCATTGCTGGATAAAATGCTACAGTGTCACTGTGGCTGTTTTCCAGTACTTGACTCCATCTCAGGCTTCAACTGTTTTTTACTTCCTGATTTTGAGGTTTTAAGTGCAATAGTAAGTCTGATTGTGCCACAAAAGATCAAGTAAGATGCAAAAGAGCCAAACATTACAGTACTTCAATTTAAGTTAAACGCTTCAGGCCCACATTTGAGGATTGGCTTCTTTCATCAAGCCTGAGACAGAGAAGAAGTTGAGTATTGGAAAACGGCCTGTGGCTAGAAATGAATTCCCGTTTCTCTCATACTGCATGAGGCCATTTTTTCATGTTCAGATGGCTAGAATTGTACATATATTTCTCTGTCCATTTGCTTATAGGACCTCTACTGTGTCCGGAGTGACCTAGGCAACCTTTTGAAGGCACTCCACCGCCTTGATGAAGCCAAGGTAAAACGAGGGCTACCTTGTCAGTGGGGATTTCAGAGAAAGCCAAACTCCTGATCCATAAAAGCAAACATGGCCCCATAAGGAAGCCTTTGCAGAGTAATTTTGTGTGTGTGTGTGATTGTCGCCACTTTTTATTTAGCTTTTTTGTTTTTTGTATTCATTACAGTTAGTGTCAAGTTTTTTGTTTTGGTTGCTATGGAAATGGATCAATGATGAGAGTAGGGCCCATTCTACTGTCATAAACTAATAGGTTTTAAGGATGATACATACTAAATAAAAAGCCGTTGGTCTTGAAGAGCATTTATTTCATATAGGAAAAATCAGTAAAAAGATTTAAAATTTTGGAGTCAGTATTTTAGTCTATGAATAGGTTGTCTTATGGGCACCTTAACAGTGAAAAGATAATCCCCTGAAATTCATTTTGACAAATGGGTCCTAAGGTCTAAAATTGTATATTAGGTGAGTTTTTGTTTGCATTTTAAGTCCTTAAATGTTTGCATGGAGGTTGTTCTGTTAAATTTTAGGTCCATGTTTAAACTTTTATTCACCTCAGAATTCTTGTTGGCTCGTTAAAAACTGTAGGGTTTGCTGTGGTTAGTAATTCTTGGTTGTGTCCGTAGACAAATTTGGAATCACGGCATATTTTCAGCTCTCCAGACTTGAGGACAGAAACACCCAAACTACACGCCATCTTAAACTTAGCTTGTTATAGACCGAGTCTGCTTTGTCCTTGACATGGTCTGTTGCCTTGTGAACATTTGCAGTCTCATTTGCCTAAATTAGTTTAGCAATATTGGCAGATTTTAGCATAGTTTCTTCGTTGTAAGTCTTGTTTGTGTGAATTTTCTGCAAGGTTTCCTCATGGGGTTGTGCTATCAAAATGTCTTGGAGAATCTGAATCACATTTTTCATTTTTTTCCACTGAGCATTTTATGTCCATAGGCAGTCTTGTTTGCCACAATTGCAAGTTTTGTGGTTCATGCTTGAAGCAGCGTTGCATTGCACACTTTGCGATCTTTGCCAAGCTCGCGATGCGTTTGGATGCCTTGCCACAGCCCAGCACATCAGAGGTGCCAAAGCTGCAGACCAGCTTTTGCCCGTGGGCAAAAGCTTTGCCAGCATTGTTTCATTTGTTCCCACGGCATCATTCGCCGGTTGGAAACGGGTGAAGCAGGGTCTGATTGTATTCATGTTATGTGGGAGACATGGATACAACACCCATCCCTGTGCTTGAGGTGATTTGAGTGTTGCCAGTCGCTGTACTGCACTCCTAGTCCCAAGCAATGGTGCAACTACTGCTAACGTCAGGGAGAATCGGCCAAGATTACACGTTGATGTACCATTGCAGAGGGAGAAACACCCGACAAAAGGCAGTAATAGGATCAGGGGATATTTCTGAACTGAACTGTGCTCTTTAAAAACCTGCACCGACACTTGAAAAAAGATTGAAATGCAATTCCCAGTGAAAATGCTGAAGGAGAGCTCTGTCACCTGTTTGGTTAAGTGTCAACGGCAGTTTTTAAAGTCACACACATTTGAAATCACCCTTGACCCACTTTACATCCCAATAAAGCCAATTTTCCTTCGTTCCAGAGTTACTTGCAGGTTCATCGGGCTGATCACAAGATACCTGCAATTTTAAAAGAAGTCACACCAACAAAGTCTCACCAGGCTTTGGATTGAAAACCCAAAGTATGCACAGTGAGTGCATCAAACGCGAATGTTCTGTAAAATCCTGGAAGTTCACTCAACTGTGACACAGTGGTGCAAAACATTGGTGTGGCTTCTTGCATACTACTGCTTTTTTGCGTGCAAACTAGTGCTGCTCACAGCCATGTGGTAACAGTGAGATATATGTCAAGGTCAAAGGGCGTTTCGTAGCAAGTGCAACAAGTTACTGACCTTCTTGGTTTCATTGACGCACATTTCATCTAGTTACTGAAGGCAATGAAAGATTTCCAGTCACTGTTAGATAGATCTGACCGTTGGCACCATGGATGTGAGTACCACTGCTGTAGCCTGCGTCCTTACCTTACAGGCAGAACCACAAACCTTGCAAACTTAAAAAATCTGGATTCGTGCATGCAAAGATTTGAAGCACGCCTGTTTGGTCGTTAATGCAAAATCACACATCAGAGGGAGGGGATATTGTACATTTAAGGTGCTTTCTCTTTTGCAGGGAGTAATACCATTTTTTTCCACGACAGTTACCACTAATGAACTCTTCTTTTTCAATCTTTCTTGTGCTTGATGCATTTATAAAGGCTTTTCCCGTTGATGCTTCATTGTCGCAACCAACAGTTTTAATCTGCAGACGGACTCCAGACCTCCAGGCACCCAGTGGGTGGGTTCACACTTGAGGACACTTCTTGTGTATATTACTGTCCTAGTACCTTGCGTGCCACGACCCTGCTGAGAGAAATTACCATGTGTCACCTGGTTTGTATCAGTGAAAAGAAACTGATTGCGGCAGCCGAACAAGCCATCATTGTTTTGATTCGCTACATCTTGAAACTGACGGAAAAAGTCTTCTGTCCAAAATTCTATTTTCCAAAAAAAAATTGTTTGGAAAACATGCACTTTAACACAAACATTGAAAAAAGACTTCTAAAAGTAAATCAGATCATTTTGGGAAAAAAAGTTCAAATTTGAAATGGAAGAAAAAAAGGCTTTGTTCATGAAACAGAAAACTGGAAAATAAAATCAGATCATTATCTCTCAATATGTTACCCAAAATGATTTTTACACAGTTAATCATTTTTCAGAACTCCTGTGTGGTAAACCAAGAGAATAGCTGACAGTGGATTGTAATTATAAAGTTTGCTGTGCATGAATCCACTGAGGCACATTGCAGCAAATGCAGCAGCGTTGCACCTGCTAGCCTGCCAGCAGCATGCAGAGTGTGTTGATGAGACATATCACGTGCAGGAACCGGACTACCACCCCCCTTCCCCCCAATATCAAGGAACTGAATTGTTGCAGATAGTTGAATCTGCTGAATTCTTGTGAAGGATACCCCAGCAAGACACCTGTAACTCTTGATTCTGATTACTCCCAGTGTGATGGCAAACTGATTCTTTTCCTTTGCCTGTGGCTTGTTCCTGACTGGATATGTGTTTCACACACAGCTTGCAGCAAAGTTAGCAACCACTAGAGTATCTTTGATGATGGAACATGGTCTCAAGTCACTTCTGTGGTCTCTTGCTAATGTTGTGCCATAGTTTGCTGGTTGGCCCCATGAAGGCATAAGAAGAACTGTGACTTTTTTTGGTTTGATTTTGAGTCACACAGATGTCCAGAGCCCTTGATTTCAATCAAAGATGCACTAGTAGAAGAGCGGCCAAGCGCACGCAGCAAGCGTGACCAGCCTCTAAACTCATCTGCTTCATTCACAGTGTTGTGCAGTGACAGTTGACCAGCAAAAAATATTCAGAATAATGGAGCACGTCCCATGACATGCCAGCTATTGGCTGGTGGGTGTTGTCTGGAATAGGTGGGAACATTAGTGGGAAGGGTACAAAGCTGTCACTGCTCAATTGCTCACAGCCATGAGGATAGAGATGCAGCTTGCCCAGCTACGCAGTGCCGGCAAGCAAGTGCCGAGCAAGCAGTTGCCAAAGTGAAGCACAGCTCTTGTTTGTTTTTACACAAATGACAGACTGAAAACAGGCCTCTAAAACCTCCCCAAACCACTGCTCGGTTTTACCGTGTGTAAAGAAATGCTTGCTTGTTATCATACTCGAGCCTGTTTTCTTCTCAATATTGTGTAAATTCAGGTATTCTCTTGGTTTGCTGGTAAGCGTCTGCCGTCATGCCCAATTTCTAATTGTGGTTTTCTGTTCCCCTCCTCCCACATTTCTTTCAATGTCTCCTTTGCCACCATCATTGTGGACTGGGTTCCACATCAATTCCCTCCCATCCCTTCCCCCCCCCCACGTACCTCCATCCATGGGAATCATTCCACAGGCTTGCTATCTGAAGGCCATTGAAACACAACCCAACTTTGCCGTTGCCTGGAGCAACCTTGGCTGTGTGTTCAATGCACAGGGAGAGATTTGGTTGGCAATACATCATTTTGAGAAGGTGAGTGGATTCTTTATGACTGAAACTATTTAAAAGTTTCCTTTCAGCCAAACAAGTAAAAAGTGAAGCCTGTCCCGACCCCGTGTGGCTCTCTTGGCCAATATTTTTCTGGCATGAAGCATTTGAGAATATATTATGCCTCCTTGATGGAATCCCTGCCCATGGCAAGTAATTCACCAGCTTGCAAAATCTATTTAATAACCAAACTGGAGGGACAGGTATGGAAGTTGGTCACCCAAAGGACATGTGGTCTGCAGCTGCCTCTCATGAGTTCAAAATCCCAACCTTCGGGTTACGCCCAGTTTCCTTGTTCTTAATTCAAGAAGAGCATATGTCTACCGTGCTATTGTCGATACATTTTATTCAGTACATGTATTTTGGTATTATCTTGCCCCCATAGGCTGTCACGCTAGATCCTAATTTCCTTGATGCATACATCAACCTGGGCAATGTCCTCAAAGAAGCCCGCATCTTTGACAGGTAAGGCTAAAAAATGACATAAACAAGAAATAATTTGCTATGTGGCGATGAGATGAATTAGGAAAAGGAGAGCACATGAACTTCATTTGCTGTGTTAAATAGCCCAACCAGTTATTCAAGAATATGATTGTATTAATCTGTGCTTGTTTGTTTCTCCAGAGCTGTTGGTGCATACCTGCGAGCACTGCAATTGAGTCCCAATCATGCAGTGGTTCATGGAAACCTCGCCTGTGTCTATTATGAACAGGGGTAAGCAGCTTGAAAGGAGGCCCATTAAGAGTTTCCTTGGCTGGGGAGGGGGCATGGGGAAGTTAATTTGGGCGAGGGTGGGCTAGGCAAGCAAGCAGGAGTTGAGCAAGGGTCTTAATACAGTTTCCAGGGCAGGAAAACTTGACACATGTATGTGGTTGTATACCTTATTCCTAGTGTGTAATTGCTGTACTGACGAATCACTGATCCAGTCTCCTCTCACCTCCCCAGGTTGATAGATCTTGCCATCGACACTTACCGCCGAGCCATTGAGCTGCAGCCCCACTTTCCCGATGCCTACTGCAACCTGGCCAATGCCCTCAAGGAGCAAGGCAAAGTCTCGGAAGCAGAGGAGTGCTACAACACGGCACTGCAGCTCTGCCCGACCCACGCCGACTCCCTGAACAACCTGGCCAACATTAAGCGGGAGCAGGGCCTGACAGAGGAGTCCATCAAGCTGTACTGTAAGGCGCTGGAGGTGTACCCGGAGTTTGCCGCTGCCCATTCCAACCTGGCCAGCGTGCTGCAGCAGCAAGGGAAGCTGCAAGAGGCATTGGTTCACTACAAAGAGGCCATCAGGTGGGTTGCTACTTCTAGCGCTTTGTCCACTTCCAGTGATATTCCCAACCTGCTTTAAAGCTGATCACGCACTTGTTGAACTTGATACTTGTGTCTGCTTATGCTTTTTCCTTTGCTTCAGTCAGTTTGAGGGAGAGGTCATATAATGGACATTCATGCTCACCTATATTTAAGTATGGAAATTGTCAGAAATCATTTCACATTTCCCAAATTTCTCTGTGAGTCAGTACGTTTTTCTTTCTTTCCCTCACATGCTTTGTGTGTGCATTGAGAGCAATATTTTAAATGTCATTTCCAATTTTGTGATGCACAGGATTGCACCGACCTTTGCCGATGCCTACTCCAATATGGGCAACACTCTCAAGGAGATGCAGGACATCCAAGGAGCGTTGCAGTGCTACACCAGAGCCATCCAGATCAACCCGGCCTTTGCTGATGCTCACAGCAATCTGGCCTCCATCCACAAGGTGAGTGTGGGTTGCCTTGCCACTGACGTTCAGAGCTGTTGAAAATCTGAAGAATGTTCAAAAGTACATTTAACTTGAAGTTTAAATGTTGAGTGGCTGTATATTTCCCCACCAGGATTCTGGCTCCATTCCTGAGGCTATTGCATCCTATAGGACAGCCCTGAAGCTAAAACCAGACTTCCCTGATGCCTACTGCAACCTGGCCCACTGCCTACAGGTAATGCACTGTCACAATGCCCTGTTGAATCTAGAGACACCCTGCTGAGAGCGACCTTACTTTTGTTCTGATTCCACATATTGACCTGTATGTGAATATTTCTGACGCTCTGGTGCATTACATTGGACAGTTTGTACCTTTGAAGGAATGTCATTTTAGAACTCAGGCTGACATTCTCATCGCTTATTTATCAGTTTCCTTATCAAACTGATTTATTTTATGCTCCTCCTACCAGATTGTGTGTGATTGGACTGATTATGAACAACGCATGAAGCAGCTTGTAACCATCGTTGCCGACCAGCTGGAGAAGAACCGACTTCCATCGGTCCACCCGCATCACAGCATGCTGTATCCACTGTCGCCGGAATTCCGCAAGGGCATTGCCAGTCGTCATGGCAACCTCTGTCTAGAGAAGGTAAGTACACGTTTGTATTCTGTTCAGCGTGGAGTGGAGTCCTTTGGAAGTCTGTTTCAGTGCTGATCCTTTCTGTCGTCCTGTGTCATACACGAGACTAAAGCTAAAACCAAGTGCGAATTTAATAAGTGCTCCTGGTGTTTTTGACCTGTGCCTTAATAGCAACCTCCAGTTGATCATTGCCCTTAGATTGCCTTGTTTATATGTTCTGACTGAATTTCAATTTCAGGCAAAATGGTATGCCTTTTGTTTAAAACAGTCGAATCAGTTCGTTGCATAAATCTGTTTTTGATGTTCAAACAGTCACTGTATCGAGATGTGTCTGATGTTCACACCGTTGTGGTGTGGAGATGGTTCCCATGTCATTTGTCTTTTGACACTCCCCCCCTCAGATCAATGTACTGCACAAAGGCACATACCAGTACCCAAAGGACCTGTCTGCCTCTAATGGGAAGCTGAGAATCGGCTACGTCAGCTCTGACTTCGGCAACCATCCAACGTCTCATCTCATGCAGAGTGTCCCAGGCAAGCACAGTGACCAGGTTGAGGTGAGAGGCCGTGCCTTGTTATTGTAATCTCTCACAGTTTGTCCTCAGAGGACCAAGTGAACAGATAATAGTACCTAAAATGATGCAGATGTCAGTTGTTTGAGCGGTATTCAGGGACAACTCTCCCCTTCCTGCCTCTACATTCTGCAGGTTTTCTGTTATGCTCTAAGCGCTGATGATGGCACCAACTTCCGGGCCAAGGTGGCCAAGGAGGCTGGAACATTTGTGGATCTGTCACAGGTGAGTGCAAGTCATAACTTACTTGGCCGAGCACGTCATTAGTTATTGCGGATAAGTCTGTTGAGAGTAGCTTTGAAGAAAGTCCAGTTCTTTGAGGGGACTCTGCAGTCCCAATGTGATATTATATCGTTGAGTGATATATTTTCAGACATGTGTCTCAGGTGTGCAACCTTTTATAAATCTGCTAATTCTGTTTGTTATCTGGTTGCATTGTAGAAATTGCAAAATGATACTTGTGTAGGTTTGAATATTTGAGTTTCCTCTTCAGTTTTGTGTTACACATCTTCATATAACAACTGCATGTTTTTTTCCTGTTTGTTCTGATACAAATATTTGTCTTGCAGATTCCCTGCAACGGCAAGGCTGCAGACCGAATCAATGCAGACGGTGTTCATATCCTGGTCAATATGAATGGTTACACCAAGGGTGCCCGGAATGAAATATTTGCCCTTAGACCAGCACCGGTCCAGGTATGATTTGGCAGGTTATTGGAATTTCTTGGTTTATTGTCGAGGGACAGACCCAAGTGTTTTCTGCAAAAAAATTCATTTAGTAAGTGGGTCATCTTTACCACTACTTTGGGTACATGTTTGGTATTGTGATGACAATCTTGAAGTGTCACTGTGCTCCTACAAGAATGAAATCCTTTTCAAATTTTTCTGCTTTTACTCTGGTAGGTCATGTGGCTTGGGTACCCTGGCACCAGTGGAGCATCCTTCATGGACTACCTGATAACGGACATGGTGACCTCCCCGATGGACCTGTGTCAGCACTACTCGGAGAAGCTCGCCTACATGCCCCACACGTTCTTCATCGGGGACCACTGGAACATGTTCCCCCACCTGCTGGACAAGATCATCATCGAGTCTAAGGATGGGCACAAGGGTGACAATGTCGGCATCATCAACACGCTGGATGTCAAGGGCTTCATGGAGAAGGTGAATGCTGTGGTGCCTGCCAAGCCACCAGCGACCACTGCTAATGGAGCAACTCCATCGGAGAAGGTGAGAAACCTTGAACGTTCACGTTTATGCAACTCGGGCTTTTGCTGTAACAGACCGTCTCCCTGAAAATTACGTCTGCACAATCTATGCCACTGCCCGCTGTTTACTTTCCATGTGTCGCGTCATTATTACAGGGGTGTAAAATCGCCCACTTTTTAACGGATTTCCACTTATTTGTTGAAAATGTCGAATTTAATTTTTCACTTGTTTGCTATTGACAGGCCAGATTTCCGTCTTTTTTTTTTCCTTTCACAAGCCCCAATTTTTTCCTTTTTCTATGGACACGATAGCCAGGCCAAACTGACACTGAACAGTACTGAGCTCCATAATGCACACATGGTCAACGAGCTCACACAGATCCGAAAACCAGGCTAGAATGAGGAAATAAGATAAAGCAACACATTGCATTGGCTCTTTTCGCAAAGACGAGTGTTGATCAGTGACGATCTCTGTAGGAATTGTGTTGTTTCCATGTAACTGTCGGTGTCACAATCGCTCTGATAGGCTTATTTTCATGACGTTTCCTCATATAAGCCATGACTGCACACTTCTCGTGCTACTCACCACATGTACGAGTGTATGGACCACCACGCAAAGCCACTGTGCCTGGGACCCTGAATACTTTTGTGTGTAATCAATGAAAACCGTACCGTCGTGTGTGTTGTTGAACGGATGATCTTATTGTTGTATTTTCATCATCATGTCTGCCCGTAAAGACATCATTCATGGAGAAGGAAAGGTGAAGCACGACAATGGGACAGAAGGAATAAGAAGATCGTGAAATATTTTCTCCCCATTTAGAATGAAAATGCAAACGGCGACAAGCAAGCTGTCGGCTGCAACCCTCTCCAATTTACCGCCCTGGATAGCTCCATTTCACAAGCGTTGAACACCATGGTACTGCAAGGACATGCCCAAGCTTCCATCAATGGAATGAACATCACCCATGGACTGGCTGTCAACCAGGTAACAAGACATTCTTGATTCACCAAAGATGAAGATGACTTTCTAGTGCACTCCATGTGCCTGTGTAAATTGGCCAAGTATGTGCTTCTAGAGACCATAACCATGAGATAGGTGTAGATCTGCAATGCAAAGTGCTAATATGGACATTTAACTTAGGATGCTACAATATTCATTAACCACTTCCTGCCGGGGACTCCGGAATTGGAGACATATGGTTTATATGCGTGGCCGGGTCTCTGAACTCGGACAAAGGAAACTGGGCCCCGTAACAAAAGACCGTACTCCAAACAAAAGACCAGGCTGCTGGGAATTATCTACATTTTTCACTCTCAAAAGTGGTGATAATCCAGCCTTGTTTTGAAACCGTATACCAGGGTTTGGGGCATTGAGAGCAAGCGGATTACCACCGAGGACAAAAGCGCTCCACCACCGCAGCGATGACCCACACAGCACCGCTGCACGCTACTCTGGCCCCTATTGAAAAGAGGTCAGCAGTGCACTGAGCCAGGTTCGGGAACAAAAGAAAGTTACGTAACACCGCAAAATCTGGGCTCTTTTTACAAGGCTGCAGGCCTGGCTGAAATACTCGGGCATCAGTGAAGGTCACCTGTCAACTTAGAGTAGTGCCTAAAGATTACTTTGTGCGGTTATAAACGACCGTTAAATGAAATGGTGAATTTTTGAAGAATTTTGAAAACGGAAAAAATGATAGTCATGCCGGCCCAGCATCATCAACATTGAAAAATGCCCCGCCATGAAGTGGTTAACGGCATAGGAAATTGGAACCAAGTTTTGTCAGCTACTGGAAAATTACCTTTCAGTTTTACCTGTTTGTATTGATATCCTTCAGCGGTCACGTTTTGTGTCTATTGTCTTGTTATTTAAAGGTACAGCCCAAAGCAGCAACTGGAGAAGAGGTCCCAACAACTCCCATCATCACCACCCGCTCCATGTATGGCATACCAGATGATGCAATCGTCTACTGCAACTTTAACCAGTTGTACAAGATAGACCCGGCCACATTGCAAATGTGGGTTTCGGTGAGTACAACTGTTATTCGAAAAATCAAAGAAATTTTAACTCTTTTGGAAGTGTGGTCTCACCGTGAGACGTTGATCTCATGAACCCTTTTCCTACCAAACAGAGAGATTGCTTTTGCGACTAACACAGTAAAGAGAGTGAAGCTGACAAATGGCAAAGTTTCGGTGTATTCTACTCTCACTGGTCCTCTTACAAAACCAGTCATAAGTAACATGAACGGCGGTGACAATTTAATGTTCTGGTGACAATTTAATGTTCTGGTTCCAGTTTATTTGAATAGCTTGTGACTTGACTTGAGACCGGATAACTGCCAAACTATGTATTTGTGTTTGCTGTCAAATCTAACTAGTAAACAAAAACATTTAATTTTTTTGGGGGGGAGGATATTATTCCAATCAGTAGTCACATTTAATAGCCTTTTTTTGTCCATCTTTGTTTCTAACTCTGACCCTTCAGATCATCAAGAAGGTTCCTAACAGTGTTCTGTGGCTCCTACGCTTCCCAGCCACTGGGGAGCCCCACTTGACCGCCACTGCCACTCGTCTGGGCATGCCCGCCGGCCGCCTCCTCTTCTCCCCTGTGGCCTCCAAGGAGGAGCACGTCCGGCGCGGCCAGATAGCCGACGTCTGTCTAGACACGCCGCTTTGCAATGGCCATACCACTGGCATGGACGTGCTGTGGGCGGGCACGCCCATGGTCACCCTGCCTGGTTAGTTTCCACATATTGCTTTATTGTTATTCATGGTTTGGTTTTATTTGAATCAGTGCAGCCCAAAGGCTGAAGAAATTCAAATTCACAAGCTTAAAACAGTAAAATCTTAAAAGGGACGTAAACGGGCATTAGAATTGAAATGCACTGTGTTAACCACTTGCCTCTGAAACAGTGTACCACTGTTTGTGGGTTCAGCGCCAGAGGATTATACCACTCAGGTGTCAGTGGAGTTTGCCTGTCTGCTTAGAGTAGTCACCAGACAGTCATTCATGTAGGTGTAAACGTCTAGTAAATGATGTTATGAATTTTTGAAGTATTTTTAATACGGAAAATCTTGAAAATCACATATCAAAACTCATCCCGCACATGCAAATAAAAGTGAAGTAAATTGAACAACCAAAAGAATTAGCAGTGACTTCACAGTCTCTGTGTATTGCTCTGCTGTTAAATTTTCGATAACACTTGAAGTGACATGGATTGGTTTTTAACAAATGTGTTCAGCAACTTGACACTTTTTGATCTAGCTTTTTATCAGTCTACATCAAGCACGTCAAACCACAATTTAATCAAAACACAGTTTAGAACAGGATTCAGTTGTAAAAGAAAGGCATAAATTGGAAATGTTTTTTCCTTCAAATCTTCCTTCGCAATACAGCCTTTAGACTATCTGACTATCTCAGTCTTTGATGTCTTGATAATGTTTATCTGCTGTGAAATTAATGAGTGTTGACTCGTGGCATAAATTTGCAAGAGAAGTTCCCTGTGAAATTATCATTCATCTCCAATTACCTAAACACATTCGCTTCAATGCCTAAGTTTTAATCTCTTTCCCTCTTCCAGGCGAGACTCTTGCTTCCCGTGTTGCAGCTTCGCAGCTTCACTGCCTCGGTTGCCCCGAGCTGGTCGCATCCTCCAGACAAGATTATGAGCACATCGCCAGCAGACTTGGTACAGATCCAGAATTGTAAGTACTGTAACCTGACCAGAGTGCAGACTGTGTGCTGAGTAAAGGAGCTTGGAACAGAGCCACTTGAGATTACACCCAAGTAACAAAATTCCTTGCCTTTATTGAAAAACAGTTAATTAGTAATTCAGCTAACCTCAAAAGATACTGTTTGTTTTGAAAACTTGAAAGCAGTGGCATCCCTTTTACTCAAATTGCTGTAACCATTCTTTTAAAAGCTGCTAGTTAACCACAACCAAAATTGAATATATTTTTAATATTGATTTTTCCGTCCCCCCTTGTTTCTCTGTTTTTAGCCGCAACAATATGAAGATAAAAGTGTGGAAAGGCCGGACAGACAGCCCTCTGTTCAATGTCAAGAGCTACACTTTGGGCTTGGAGCGCCTCTTCTACCAGATGTGGGAGAAACAAGAAAAGGGAGATAAGGCAGACCACGTCAAGTGGATCTCAGACAACGGTGCATCCAGCTCAGAAAATACCCAGTAAAAACAATTGGCAGAGGGTTGTATTTGGCATTCACGGTTTTGAGAAGTAAGATCGAGATTGAAGATGTTTCTTTTTCAGAACGAAACAGCCAATAGCAAAATTTTTTGGCATGCATGTTTGCTTTTGTAGAGTAGATAATTGACAGTGTGACATGCTGTTTTCAGGGGCACTGTGAAAAAGTTAAGCCCCAAAATGTCAATCCAATGTGCTAAGGTCTGTTCAAGCCAGAATAGCAAGTACTGTAGGACCCAATGCCCAAACACTTGTGTGCCAGTTGATTGCTCATACACCTTAAAAAAAACCATTTTCATGTGTGACTATCAATACCAGAAGGTTTTGCTGCTGCGAAACAGTTACTCCCATACCTGCCAACCATTTCAATTTAAACAGAAGAGCCCAAATTTTTAGGTGTTCGGACTGCAAAACTCGCGACATTCTGAATTCTGTAGAAAGAAAAAATACAAAGGTCCTTCAAAAGAGGATACTATTTGCAGAGCAAAGAGGGCAGTATTTGTTGTCAAAATGACAGTTATTGCACATGTAAACTTATGTACATGTAAACAGCTTCTCTGTGGGGCTGCTTGTTTCTCTGTGGGCTCGTAAAATGGATAGTCCAATTTCTAACTTCAGTGATGGCAGGTAATTCACTTGTTTGGTTTACTTGCTGTTGAAAAGCATATGGTGAAAAATTGCACGTGTAATTAATTTGGCTAAGCGCACTGTAAATAGCTATTCATGTACATTTATTTAGTTTGATTCGAGTTTACTCACACTCTAACAGTCAATCAAGATGGGGGAAAACACCACTTGCCTTATCTTTTTTAATCCCATTTGCTAGAAGTTAAACATTGGTTTTAATCAGTTAACATAATCTGTTTCAGTAAATTTTGTATATAAATGTATTTTCAGAACATGTGGTTCGATTTAATTTTTTTTTCTTTCCTTGGGTATAAAAGTGAGGAAGTGATTCCGATGTTAGCATGTAAAGCATATGTGATGTTGCACAGAAGAGTCGGTTAAAAAAATGAAAATGGAGGCTCATGTGGTTCACTGGAATGTAAATAAGAGGTATAAATATATACTGGAATCCGAATGGATATGTACAAGATGGAGGATGGTAGGGATTTAACCAAAACGTGTTTTCTCCTAATGATTTTAACCAGTAGTTGAAGTTGTGAAGAATTAATGAGGGTTCCCCATATTTATTGAGCTTTTGTTTTTGGAGAGTTCTTGCACCTCAATGAGGCGTACATTTTGTTGTCAACTATCTCCTATCTCCTTTCATTTTAAAGTCTTAGCAAGTTGACATTGAATTATGTTAATCCCTCAAATGGATAATGCAATGCACCTGTACACCCGTAATTCTCATCGTCGTCCAATATTTCTGTGTTGGGATCGGGACGCAGCGAAACTGAATGGTCGTCTGTCAAAGGCTTTTGTATTGAAATCAGTACTTGCTTATTTCGCTGTTGAAAAAAAAAAGATGGTAATCAAAAAATGTCATTTAACAAGGCCCACCTAAGATATAGTCTTGCATAATGCTTCTTGATTAAAAAGTTACATATTATATCCCAAATGATGACATTCCATGTTAAGACCTGTTTCCTGGTTGGTGATATTGCTGTCCCTCCTTCCTTTGCCCTCCCTCCCCACATCAAATGGCCAAATTTCGTAGTGGCAAGGATTCATGTTTGCAAGACTGAGTGAGTTCAAACGAGAAGTTCGTGACGGAAGTCGTGTGGATTGATGGAGTAAAGAAAGGCCCCTCCTACTCCTAAGTTTGGAAATAAGTCTCCACAATTTTACATTTCAGCCTCCCGTTTTCCTGTCATGACCGTGGCGGTAAGTGAGAATCTATACGTCTGGAAACCAGACTGGATACGGACTTACGCGCGCTCTACCCCTTTACCAGTGACTCCACCATAGAGGAAGGATCTGAAGGATGGGTCCACTTAACAGAACCCCTGAACTGGTCCTTGTCCCTATTACATGGGGACCAGTAGCTAGCTGCAGTTTAACATATGCGACTAGCCCTGTCAATTTGGATGCTTATTATTTTAATTTTTGTCCGGCCAATAGCAATGCTTTAACATGAATTACGATCCAGCCGTAGCGAGACGAATGACACACAAGTAGCTGTCCTTGATCATCCTGTATTGATCACACAGTGTGGTAATTTATTTTGCAATAAATATCATCAATGAATCATTTCACGGCAATTTATTTCAAATCAGAGGTTATTTTGTTAAATTTTGAATAAATAAACAATTTATAGTGAAGTTATTTTCGGCAACTAAGAAGAAGAGAAAAAATATTGTAACAGCTTCTGCTCAATCTGTGCGCAGGCTTCGTTTCCTGATAAACATAAAAGCGGTTTATTGAACCATACGTTCGTTCGGAGGACGTGTGTAAGACGTCGGGGAACCAATCTATAGAAACTTTGGCCATATGGCCGTTTTCCAATACTCAACTTCGTCTCTGTCTCAGGCTTCGTGTAGGAAGCCAATCCTCGATTGTGGGCCTGAAGCGTGTAACTTAAATTGAAATACTGTAATGTTTGGCTCTTTTGCATCTTACTTGATGTTTGGTGGCACTATCAGACTTACTATTGCGCTTAAAACCTCAAAGTCAGGAAGTAAAAAAAAAAGTTGAAACCTCACGGGAGCACAAGTCGAGTATTGGAAAACAGCCATACCAAGTAGAGACATCGCGCCCCCATTGGTCAGACTCGTATTTGACAAGACATGACGTCTGCTTTCCGCGGGAAAAGCAGCTGTCAAAATCGAGCCGCTTCGCACATGGTGACAAGTGGTAAATACTCAACACATTTTACTTGTTGATATTTGTATCTTGCTTGGTAGACATTGCAAAAGGTAGCTGTCAGTCTGTTTAAAAACCAGCCGCTTTGCACAAAAAATTGAACAAATTTCACTGGTTGGTTTTTTTTTTATCGTACTTGGCAGACACTGCATCCATTGCAAAAAGTTTGGACCTAGGTTCAGGTCCAGGAATTGCTCGAATAGCTTTCAAAAACGGAGAAAATGTTCCTTTTACAAGTTTTAGGGTATAATATAATCCTATAGCTATAGGGGATGCCCGGCGTCAATTGTGCCATACTGGACCATGGAGGTGCCTCTATGTCTGGACAATGAGATGTTCTGGAGCACTTGTCGGGAAAGTTTGGGTAAGGAAGGAAGTTATCATAATTGAGGAATGATTCTTTAATTTGGGGTGCATTCAGCAGATGAATGAAATTATTATTGGGGGGGGCGGGGTCTGAGGGACATCGGTCGGTAGCTGTAGAGTTATAAGGCTGATGTTCTTCGTCGCTGAATGAAGCACAAAGAACTGTCGCAGCTGTAATCCAGTTCGTTATGAATAAATAATGACTACCGAAGAATGCTTCGATCAGCAGATACAACTCTGCGAATCAGTCGCTGAAACAAGTGACAAAGACACCGGTGCGGTCATTCATTGCGCCCTTAGATAGACAGCGTCTCCTTGTCCCCTTACCCTGCACCCTCCCCGCGTATGGTGATCATTATTCACGGCGGTGTTCTGTCTATCTACCGCCCCCGGCAAGAGTTCTGAATAATTTCCACCTTCCTCTAGATCAACTTCACTGGATTTTGTACACCCGGAGCCGGCGGTGTCCGTGTATTTTTAGTCGTCTGAATCATCACAGGGCTCGTGGATGGACGGAGTACTGGGGCAGCTCTTTGACTTGACGCGCCGAACAATCGTCAGTTGCAGCTCGCTCACAAATTAAAATTTATTGGAAAGTGGGGATTTTTTGCTATTTGGGGATCGCGGAATCTGTGTGGAGATGAGTCACAGACCTTTCGCACTGGGGAAAGGTAAGGAGCTGCAGTAGGCACGGTGAGCAGTGCTGATCGCGGATCCCACGCAAAAACACCCCGACTTCAGTGTGTCTGATCCTTGCTCACGTCGCACGCGTGATTGCAGTCGGTGCCACCTCGTCCGCTTGATCGGTGCCGTCCGGCAGACGGTACTTAGAGGAATTAGGTACGTATTGCTATTGTTGTAGTTTCTTTATTTACGCTTGTGAAGAACGAAATAATACTACAGTTGAACCTCGTTAATGAGAAATCCTTCGAACTTGACAAATTACCTTGTTATAACAGGAAACTTGTATTATCAGGAATAAAAAAAATGGAAAGGAAAGGATTGGGACCTTACAAAATCCTTGTTATAAGTAGAATCTTGCATTCAGTGCTCTTATTAACGAGGTTCGACTGTACTCAAATTGGAAAGAGTCCCATACGGACAACACTAATTTTCCCTTAAACTGTTATAACGGCCGTCAGAAAGTGATAACATGTCATAAGTGATATTTAGCATTTACTTAGAAAACACTAAAGATTTCGGACGAGTCTCATAGGTTTGGTCAAAGGGATACAAAGTGTTGAACGTATATGGAACTCTTTCCCAAAAATTATCCATAAAGTACAGTTAAATTTGATCGAGCGAAATAATATTTTAGTTTGAGTGGATACAAATAGAAGAAGATTTACTTGATGTGCCTGAAAATAAGTATCATAATCAGTTACCTTTGAAAATGTATGTTGCTGTTTTCTGCATAAAAAAATAACATGTAGGCCTAGTTGAAAATCCTATTTCTGCCACCCTGTACGGCTTGTACTAAAGCAGTTTAAACTTGAGATCTGCAGTCTAGCTGATCTGCTGCCTGCTGTACTTGACTCATTTCCTTTCATAATTTAAATATCACATGCTCAGCTTTTGCCGCATTCAGGTCAGAAAAACTACAACTGAAGGCTGTGATTCATCATGTGCTGTATACTTTGCAATTCTCCAGTACTCTTTCAAAGAAACTGCATTTCATTTTGTCTCAGATGTACTTCTTAATGCTGCAATTACTTTGCAGTATTTTAAACAAAGAAGTAACCCATCAAAAAGGAATTTGTAGAATGTTTGCTTGCAGTTCTGGCACAAAACCAATGTACCTGTGTAAAATGTTGGACAAAATAAAAATGAATTCTTCATAATGCAAAATATTGTTAAGACAATTTCCGGAGGCACTACAGTAAGGACACTTCAAAATCTAGATCTGTGACGGACTCGTGCAGTTGAAGTATTAAAGGACAGAAAAAAAGATTTATGCCATGAATTGACGCCAAGGCAAAAGAAGTAGTCCACATACACCCACTCACTGAAGTAGACACCTCAAATTCAGAGCCCTTATAGGCAGTCTGACTGTAACACTGTCCAAAAAGGATTCCTTAAGGAACATGAACATATTTTGCCATACTTCATAATAAGAAATGCAAATCTAATTTAAGCCAAATGCTAACTTATTAAATAATAAAGGGATTTCCAGCCTTATAGCATAGCATTTGATAAATGGATGCAGATTAAAGATACAAGTGCGCACTCCACCTTAAAAAAAAATCGGAATTAATCTAATTATACATGACATTTCAAGGGACTTGTGCCTGTCATAAGAAGCTAGTTTTTTTCGTCATTATTCTAGCTCACAAAGAAATTTGTAATCCATTCTGCTGGTTTCATCTAATGGGCAACAAAGAAGAGCAGGAACATCAGGGCTGTGGCATTGTTTATTAGAGCCATGCTGTTTTGAGCAGCAGTCCTATCCCTTTAAGTGAAGATAGAGCCTGTTTCCAACTCCGTAAAGTCATGTGGCTCATTGAGTCGCTGCTTCAAATATCCGGTACAATCAGTCCATTTGATATTGAGGGTTCTCTTCTCCCGACTGCAGCTTTTATTTTTTATACCGTCTTGATATAGGGAGGTGAATGCCTTAGTCTTGGGGATAAAAATACACAAGGAGCTTGATTGGAACTGCACTATTTATGATTGGCCACAAGACGATTTCTAATCAGGATAAGTTAGAATGCTCCCACTAGAATGATGACACATACATATATGTATCTAGTAACATCCCAAATCTTTCATCCGTGAAACTGGAGACAGATATAACCTGTCTGCTGGAAATTGTGAGATCAATCAGGAAAAAAGTACAGCCCTGCTGGAATTGTTTATGGTCCCAGGACATGGCAGTTGTGCATTTATTTGGCCCAGTCAGTATATCATCTCCAGCCATCACGATAAAAACTACAACTCAAAGTTGAATTGTTTACATGAATATTTGGTCGGAACATAAAGCCTAATTTATGTTTTCAGCTGTTTGCCATGTCTGTTCTTCTTTCAATAAAATGGCCAAAAGGAAGGGGAAATTGATGTAGAAAATATTAACTGTCACTGCCGACATAAAATTTGTGAGTTCATGCCTATGTGCAGGTGTATGTCATTATTTCACTAAATTGCTTACCTGTCACACTTATGCAAGGTAATAGCATAACAAATCTAATTCTCAGATCTGATTTATTTATGCCATGCACATTCCTCAGGGTGAATTCAAATAAATGCCCTCATTTCTCAAAACATGTATTTCTATGTTAATTTTCATTAAGACTGAGATTTGTTACGTACTGAATATGTTAATTATGAAAAGAGGTAAAGAATGTGACACTAAATATCTTGACATTATCTTTTTGTATACAATTTATTGCCAGATGGTTTCATGTCTTTAACTTCTAAACCAACTATCCAAAAACACTATCTGTTATTGGAGAGGAACAAGAATTCTCACGTAAAAGATGGGAGAATGCATCAGAAAATGGTGGAGTTGCATTTCCTTTTTAAATACTGTGATTATGGCGTCACCCTGCAAAAAATCTTAAAAGGGAATGATATTTTTCCTTTCTTACCTCACATTGACACTCTTTGTGGCAGAGGCATACCAACTATGATGATGGATTGCATATTTGTCAATTGAAATGAGCAAGCATTCAATCTTTGTTTTCTTAAAGTCTGGCCAGCCAGGGAATATTCTAAGACCTGAAACAGAAAGCCCTATGGATGTTTGTATTTCCGGAAAGAATGTTGCATCCTGTCTCTACTTTTTCATCAGTTATGATCTTAGTGAATGTCATCAATTGTTATAATGTTGAAATAACATGAATCTGGGACTGAAAATATTTCAGATTTTGTTAGAAAATACTTACTTTGAAATGCACTGAACTCTCCATAGACTTTGTGAAGAATCAACAAAGTGGAGTCAGGGTGCTTCTGTCTTTCCATATTTCCTTTCCATCTTGGTCTCCTTGCCAATGTAGACCATGATGAAAAGTCAGATACATGTCCACTAAAATGTTGTAACTTTTAATGTAATTCCCCCCAAAAAGGTATGAGCAGCAATATTACACTTATACAACAGCAAAACAGAATGTTGCACAAAGCCCAAGTGTCTCATTTTGAAAAGCTGTAAAAAAGATAGATCTTGTAACTGTAGAATTACTGGTGAAAACACAATAATCATGACCCCTAGTAACCTAGTGTTTTTATTTTGCTGCATGCGCACATTTATTAAGAATGGACTATTTGTCACTGTCATCCACACTGAAGATATAAACTTCATTAAAACAAAGACCTCTTAGAAACTCAAAATAATCTATCCTCCAACATTTTAAGCTATAGATGATTTCAAGCCGGTACTTCTGTATCCTATCAACATGTATTTCCTTCCTAAGGGAAAGCACGTCAATAACCTTCAAACAGGACATATTAAAATTTATCTGGGTATACCTCGCAAATGCAACTGATGTTGGAATGTAATATTAATGTCCACTCTGTTATCATGCAGGATGCCTTTCTTCTGTGACATGCACACTATGTGTATCTCAGTCCAAAACTCTGTATACATATAAAAGAATGAATAAGAATGTAAAAGCTTCAATGATATAATAACCTCTCTGATAATGGTTTCTTTTTACAAATTTTCAAGGGACTGTCGAACTGATCTCAAATTCATCTCCACTGTTGTTATTTAATTCCTTAAAATCCCTTTAAACAGTAATTATTCTTCCAGTAGTTGGAAGTAGCTTGTGGTTGAATTAGAGCTAGAGATATGAAATCAAAGATAACCGCGAACAAGAAATATCAAAGACATGCAGCTTTGATGTAAGGCTAAAAAAGATATCCACGTATTATTAAGGGGGTAAGGGATTCAGACATGTAATTGGAACCTGCATTGCTTTTCTTTGTAGACCTTTCATATATATATGTATAAGCTTCCTTACAAAAACAACAGTATTCTTATTCTGTTTTGTTTCATTTCCAGCACAGACTGTTACATACAGTTGCTGTGATGGAGAGCGAGGTCAGGCCAGCGACCTCTTCTTGTGTCTTCCTTGTAAGTGTAAGAAAATTTTTCTTTTTTCTCTGACGTCTTTCGACATCTTGAATTAATTTCTCTCTGTTGTTTGTTTTTGGCATTGTTTTCTTCCCTTGGGCTTGCTCAACCTTCTTCCCTGGGGCTTGCTTAACATGTACGTAAGGCAGAGTTGTAATTGAATGGGGAAGTGGCATACTTTGCCTGAGCTTGTTATTTCCTTGTGTTCACAGGCGGACATGCAAGATTACTCTCTCTATGCCTAATTTAGTATAATCAAGTAAAATAAGAAACAGTGAAAACCAATCCAAGGAATTAAGACAAGAGACTCAAACCTGTGGAAGGTCAAAGAAAGAGATATTTAATGTACAGGGTGTCTCCAATTGATAACTAGACATAATTTAGATAACAAAATGCACATTTCACCCTTACACTTTGATTTCAAAGGAGATGCTGAGAGCACTATGTACTGAAACTACTAGGAAAAGACACTGTTTAACAAACAGTGCTAGGTTTCATTTGTGTTTAAAACGGACAGTATTTACTAGCACCATTGTTGTTGGACACACTGTGCATGTCGTCCTAATGAAATGCAGCACCCTTGCTCTTTCCTTTCTTGATTTTTCAGTGCTGATTTTCATGCATTCTCCTCTCTCTCTTTTGACAGCGAAGCCGAAAATTTCTAACAGCGCTTATACTGTACTCCTTTGTGGCTAGTCTTGTCATCATGCTTGTCCTCAATTCCACCAAAACCATTAAGGTTCTCCAAGACGGCAGGCGATACTCCATCAATCTGCTAAATCTCACCCAAAGGAGATTGCCCGACCACAGCGCTGTGACACTTCCCCCTCCGCATAATGAGACAGACTTCATCTTTTCCAAAAACTTTGGTGCCAAAAAGGCCCAATCAGGGAGGAAACAAAACCACAGGACAGTCTGTGGGAGTCATAGCAGGAACGGAGAGGAAGGTTGCCATGGAAACACCAAAATTAACATTACTGACCTCAAAAGTAGGGATGATCGGCTTCACTCAGTTCAACGCTATTACAAGTCAATGGTGGATTTACAGGTAAGAAAAGTTGCTTTGGGAATCATCGCATTTGACACTGTTGATTTATTTATCATCTCAAGTCTTTTTTTGGGGGGGGGGAATATGACACCCAGAAAGAAATTAACATCCCAGTTCTTTTTGCTCCAACTTGGGCTCCATATTACGGCATTCACATCTGCAAGCTCTTCTCATTTAATTGGTGCTACAAGACGCATAAACACCAAACATTCAGCATACCTTCATTAAGCATGTCATTTCTCATGTGTGTGTGTGGTTCTTTTTTTCAATCCTGTGTAATGGAATCCTGCAAGCTGACAAACATAGCCTTCAGCAATGTCAAGTTAAGCGAATCGGTTTGACCTTTAGGGTTGACCACTCTCTGTGCTAACGACTTGTTCCTGTCATAACTCAACCAAGAAAGCACAACTCAGGGATTGTCAAAAAAAATAAATAAATAATGGTCCTGATTGATAAATGCATTTCAAACCTGGTGAATCTGATTTAGAAATAACATGGATAAGGTAAATACGCATAGGATTCAACTTTGTGCAACAATCTATGGATAATTTATTCAGGAAAAAAAGAAAAGCAAAACAAATGTGAAAGAGTCTTGAATTTAATAATGTAATTGTCGTCTGACAAAACGCAAGTGAATCTAAGTGAAATGCAAAATGAATTCAGGGTTATGAAATAAGAAAATATAAGTTTGCTTTAAAGACTTCAAATGATTCATATACGTGCATAACCCCAGATTGAACTTTGAACTGTGCTGAAGGGGATGTTCGAATTATGCGATCTTCCTGCATCATGCTCAAGGGGTGCATGAGGCTTTAACAGGGGCACGTACTTCTACACACTCATTCCTGGATAGCAAAATCAATATCTATGCATTGATGTACCAGTATGCAATCATTACACATAAATCTTGTACAGGCTCAATAGTGGCCTTCATGATGGGCAGACTTGGACAGTGGAAGTTTACAGACTGGCTTTCCATTATCTAGCAGGTGCAGTGCTGAGCTCCTTGAAGGCAAGGAAAAATTAGGTAGAGGCTTATAATGCACAAAATTCCAGTTGCCTGCAACTGTAGCTGAAAACATTAGCTATACACTAGACATCTCGTCTGCTGAACCGTAAACCTGCTCATGTAGTATTCATAGTGATAGACTTGACACTTTGAAATATTAAAGTCAAGGTGCATAACTGGGAGCTCGTTTCACAAATCAATTCACAAATCAGTGAAAACACAATTCAGAAGAACCGGATTCAATATTAAAGGAAAGGCATTATTTTGAATGTTTTCTCTTCAATTCTCCCCCCCCCCAAAACACAGCCTCTAGATTACCACTGTGACACCTGTGCACTCGTGACTAGTTCAGGCCAGCTTCTGAACCAGAGGGCTGGCCGGCACATCGACAGCCACTCTTGCGTCCTGCGCATGAATGTGGCACCCACCAAGGGTTTTGAGCTGGACGTGGGCTTCAAGACGACAGTGCGCGTCATCTGCTTCATGTCGACTGCCCCACTGAATGCATACGCCTCCGAGCTCCTAGTGGGCCCCCAGAAGGCTGACATGTACCTCTTCTGGGGGCTCAACTCGCCTAAACGCAGAGAGTCTCTGGCACGGGTACAGCTGCTTGCCAAGAAATATGATGCAAGTTTTTACTCCCTGGATGACATGGGAGAAGCAGAGGCTGTCATGCTCTTTGAGAATGAAACTGGAAAGGACAGGTAGTCACACATCAAAGGAAAAAGACAAAAAACTGATGCAGTGAAATTCTCATGAACAAACTTGAATTAAGACCCAACGTATATTTGCCAGGTTTTAATTAACATTCACCTGAGCAAGTGGTCATGTTGGGAAATATTAGTGATGTCATTTTCTGCTGTGAAATCAAGATCTATAGGATCTATTTTTAATCACAGAAAAAGAAGCATGATAACAATTGAGTGGATGCTTCCATTTTCATTGTTGGTAAGCAGAACTGGATCTCTTTTTGGCTGACAGGGTAAAGACAAACTCCTGGTTATCAACCGGCTGGTTCACCATGATGCTAGCCATTGATATGTGCAATGAGATTCATGTCTATGGCATGGTGCCTGACGACCACTGCAGGTAATGAGAAAAGGAATTTTTAAAAGTATTTGAACATGGACAGTATGGCCAGTGATTGTGCACCAAAAAATGGCAATCCATCCCAAAATCCACATGAAAAATGCCGACACTTCCATATAGAAAAGAATGTCGGTGATTTCTGCCAAGTCGGAGACATCCTTGTTTCCAATTTCCTAGCTGCAAACATTCCACTGCAATATGGGGTGTACTTAACGAGCACATCTGTTAATTATCACCTCGCATTATTGTCGCAAGTTCTCACGGATAGTGAGTGCAGGCCTGTTTTCTGACTGAAGTCGGTCAAAAGTAAACACTGCCGAGGCCAAACATGCATGTCCGTGCGGTCATTAATAATGAATGTTTCTATTTAAATAGGTGACTCACATGTACACTCAGTGGCATTATACACGGTAGTGATGGTCTCTCTCTTTTCTTAGGTTATTGATGGGTTCTTGCAAAGCGCATTAATTGCCAATAAATGACAAAATCCTTTCACTGAACTCGATTAATTTGATTGATGTGTAAACTGGGGGCTGGATTGACTCCCCAGAGGCAATCATGCCTTTTGACAGCTTCGTATCTCCACTTATCGAGCGATCCGATGGTCTGGAAAGAAACCGCAGTTATGAAACATTGACGAGTCTGCTAATATCAGGCTTGTGAGAGACCTTGCAATGCTGCTGCATGTCATACAGGTTATGTGAATTTGGAAGTCATCACTGCACAGCATAAATTAAAATTCTCACATCAGCATAAAATGCAACAGTTAAAAAACTGCAATTATTCTGCTTTTGTTGAGCATGTGATAAATATGGGAAGATAGACGGGGAACCTCAAACATTACTTTAAATTAACCTTTCATTATTATTCAATCATTTATGTAAAATCTCATGGTATATAAAGTGCCCATTTGGTACATCATTTTCCAACTATTTGTGGTTCTGAGAAGAACCGGGGAATAACTTGACATTTCGAACAGTGTACTCTGTCCGTCTTCAGTACATTGTTTGAAACGTCAAGTTATTCCCCGGTTCTTCTCAGAACCACACACACTCAAGAAAGAGATTGATCCATGGTGCAACCGCAATCATTTTACTCATCTAATTTCTTTCACAATGAAAACCTTCAAGTCTTATTTTCCAACTAGAAAATATGGCCACAAGCAAGTTCGGTACCACTACTGGCAGACCGCTTTGGGTCCCAGCGAGTGTGACCAGTACAAGTCCCACGAGTATGCCAAAAAGGGCGGCCACCGCTTCATCACGGAGAAGGCCATCTTCCAGCGCTGGGCCCTGCTGTACAACATTACGTTCCACAACCCAGGCTGGAACCTAGACAAGCGGAAGCACTCGCCAAACAAACCCATCAACACCCCGTTCATGAGGAGGAAGGGGAACGATTAAGGCAGTCAAACACGACTTGACTGATGAGGGAATGTGATTGCACCAATACAATTTATAGCAGTGCAAAGTAGCAACCTGTATTCTATCAGCTCTGTCCAAGAGCTTGTTCAGCTAGACGTAAGCTCCTTGTTTTCAAGTGCAATCCCATACAAATTGTATTAGTCTTTATCATCAGGCTAAGGGGACTCCATTTCACAAGAAAGAATTCTGTGTCATCAGGGCCCATTTTGTATGTGCTGCTGAACAAACAGCTTTGTGGGAACAGAGCCTTCATCATTTGAAGACATTTTTATAAGCAGTAAGCACAGCAAGAGCATGCTTAATGTGGGAGGAAAAAATGATTAAATCAGAGTCAAAATCACGGACATCTCCATGCGCATGCAACCCTCATAGCACAGCCACGCTGTGAAATAGTGCTGGGCAGCGGCATTATTTTTGACTATGGTAAGCACAAACTTTCTTGCTGTTAAGCAGGGGTATAACTTTGGCTCAAGTTCATGGAGCACAAAAAAGCTCGTGGTCTGGTTTGGCAGGGCTGTTCCATCCCCACTCATTTAATGGCCTCCTAAGAGTCTTGAATGCAGAGAGATTTGTAGATTCAAGAAACCATCTCCATCACTGAAAGGGGGCTTCTTTAAAATCATGAGCACTGTTGCTGATGAGGAAAGGCTTTTAAAGTTTGAAGAGAAGAGATTGGAGTTTCCACTCTATCAGTTCTCACACGATTCAGATGTGCACAATGTGATATTAATAACATTATCAATACGTTGATCTTTTTCTTCTGGCTTTCTGTTCCAGTGGGAAGTTATTTCAGCTCCTTTGAGTAGTTTGCTGAAGAGAAAAGCAGAAATACCTGCCATATCCTGTGACAGGTGGAGAAAACTGGGCAGTTTAAGAATGATCAGGTGGTTTTTCAAACATGAAGTATGACTGTAGTCTTGGGCTGATTTCATTGGGTTGCTCAGCATGGAAAATGTACTATATCCGTAAATAGTAAAACAAAAACTCCAAGTTACCAGCAGTATGCACAACTTAATAACTGGTTCTCTGTTGTTTTGTTAACAGGCTAGACTTGCTTTATATTTATCAGCTCCACGAATTAGACCCTGGTGTTAATCTGATGATAAGTCATTGGAGCATAGATAATTGTCACTTAATTCTAGACTCTTGAGCAGTACTTTTGATCACAGACATGCTTTAGCTCTTTATCGTGAGTGGCTTCAAGGCAGTATAGCAAGGCTGAAGAACAAAATGAATTAGACATGTGTACTATTCACAAAAACCTGAGCAATTGGAGCCACAATGTAGAGAAGTTTGATGAAGGCTATCTACATGTTAGCTCCTTGCGAAGGTAACTATACTGTAATTCCAGTTAAGGTAAGTGCATTCTTAACATGGAGCTCAGTGGTTTTCATGAATGACACATTCAAACAATTAGACTTCACTTCTGAAGTTTTGTTAACTTCTTGGAATTAACAGATTTATACTTCTTTTATTTACAACTAAATTTTTATGCTGGAGAGATCAAATGTATTAAAAGCTATTTATCTGAAACAATGTGCAGATAATATCATGACAGGCAATCAAGCACACTAAATCTATGTAAATATATGGATGTATCAATATCAGATCTGAAATTAGTCACTTGAAAGTGACAGCTAGATAATTTATATTAAAAGAGCAATGTGCAAAATAAAAACCAAATAATGCAACGATTCCTTGCAGTGTGCACAAGCTGTGTGTTTTGTTTACTTCAGCAAGAGGACTGCGGGTAGGTAGTACTTTGTTCACACTTCCCCTGCTCCCTTCAAAGGTAGCTAACTTTTGAAGGATTTAAAGTGTTACCAAAAATTATAATCAAAATTAATACTGGCAAGCGTTTGCTGTGTGTCAAAAGACTGGCACAGGGACAAGCCTGAAACCTTCCGCATTTACCTAACAAGTCCAAGGATATTGATACAAACTTCCCTTTGTTGTGGCAATTTACTGGTTTGGGGGATTACGGTAGGGCTAAGATAAAGGTAGGTCGGATACACATAATAAATGGATTCATCTGCACATTCCAAATGATAGAGGTACAGCAATGTAAATGTATTGATCCACAGACGGCCCTCCCGAGTATCCTCCATGGTTTGAAGGACCCTCAAAATTAAAGGGGGGTCCTAAGCGTACAGGTGGTCTCTTGCAACAGTGTGTCGATAAATGCACCCATACAAAAACACTTGTAACACATTTCCTTTAATCAGGTCTGATTTGTAATCAATAGAGAACTTTCAGTCTTGCAATGCTTATTAACTTCCACTGTAAATTCAATGGACAAGAGCCAGAGGGACAGAAGAAGGGTTGTACTGACTTCCAACGGCCTACATCTCAACACACATGATCATCACCCACATTGTTTCATTCACACAAGCCATTTTCACACTCAAGACTTGGAATAGTGCCTTATCATCTCAGCTGCACACGCATGCTGCCTAAGTAATATATAAAACCACATCCACAGCCCGAGTAGAATAAAAGCATAACACCACAAAGAAAAAAACGAAGTGTTGTCGCCACGGTAGCATACCCGTCACTTGTCCAAGGGAATTTGATTAGATAATTTCGCTTCACACCTTGGAAGTGCAGCGTCAGACGCTAAATGCATCAATCTCTTTCTCTCAGAAGTACAGGATTTGGGTAAGTCAATCAGCAGCTCTGAAGGCTGAATGACTTCACGGATGAATGAAGAAAAATTGCTCCACTATGGCAGCTGCCAATCCAAATGTTCCCGAAACCACCTTTTTTCTTCAACACGGTTCATCAATTTTAATGTAGGTATATCTCTGGCAGTATATCAAATTCAAAAATAGGGAGTTGGGGTGTTTTTTTTTGCTTTGTTGTTTATTTTTGTCTCTAAACTTTGACAAGTTTTCTGGAAAAACATCTCGGCAGTGTAGTTCTTGGTTTATTGTTACACAGTGAAGCTTGGGATAAATATCCAATAGGTCCAACAAAATGTAACAAAATAATGGATTGGAATGTAATATAACAACCAAGCTATCAGTTCTGTCACTGAAGAGCAAGTCTCTACACACAGGGTTTGCTGACTGTATCCAATTACGTTGTTCCTTGGAACGATTTAATCTAGGTTCAATCACATCTGGAGGACAGCACAAGCGAACTTGAACTGACTGGGAAGAATTTCTAGAGACAATAATACAATCACAATCTCTTGCAAGTCAACCAGCAAATACTTAATTTGTTTTTTGGCAAACCAGAAGACAAATAGAGTACCGAAGTGTGACGTCACTGTGAACCAGAAAGTGCAGTGCAAACAAATTGAGTGAGCGTGCTGTTCTTACGCTAATGCCTTTTACACACTAATTGTGCACGTGACATATTCACTTCGGTACTCTATTTCATTCAATGTCAAAACCCAAGTAATTGAATTTTTTAAATTGCTATGTTTCTTTAGTGGCTAGGCAAGAGTCAATAAGACTGGCATTACAAATGTACCATGGAAAGTGAAGCACTTAAATGTCACCATGACATTAAAAAGTTAAATTTAAGTGAATGGAAAGGCTGTGAACGTGCATTTTCAGCCATGTGTTTATTTCCATGCTTTTTCTCAATCATGACCACCATTGAATTGTTTTCACTTAAAAGAATCATTTTTTGTACACCAACAAATAAATTTGATTCAACTTAATCATACTAAATTCATTTTTTAATAAGCCTTTGACAGTGATTGCTCCATCTACTGTGAATTTCAAATGTGTTAATTGTCATGGCTTATTCAATTAATTATCGTGGCCAAAGCTTGCCAGTACAGCCTCTTTATCAAACCCTATAATGCCATGGGCCTGTGCCACTGATTACATTAAGCATGTTCAAAGCTCATTAATAAACTAGTTCTCTCACAGCTCTCAGACATGATAAACACAAAATGACCAAGGCCTTATCCAACGGGCTTTAGAGCAAAGACAACTCAATGTGGCAACATTCCCTGCTCAAGAACACAATCTTAACTCTGCAAATGTGTTCAACTCTAAACAAAACTGGGAACATAGATAATATGCTACTGGTTAGCCAGGAACTTTAATGTACTTTGTTGCACTGGTAGGCAAGGTCAACACCAAAAGGCCAAAGGCACATTGTGTTGAGTTAGTGCAGATATGACCACACTACCTGTCCGTTCATCAACGTCTGTCCTTTTTCCTTTCATGTGGTCTCCAATAATAATCTCTAGGCAGGATCAACTCAGCCATGACCTCATCTTCAGTCGGAGTCGTCGGGGCCTCCTGTCGTGATCGCATGCCTCGCTTCTGAACTTTGGGCGTTTTTGAGGTGACAACTTTGACCTTGCAACCGAGAGCTCTGGCATGATTCCTGAACCTGGACATTGAAGGATTAAAAAAAATCACTTCCATATGAGTCAACAGCACATAATTAGGTATGTTTCAATCCAGTACTGCTCCCACTGGCCAGTAACATGCCCGTCCACTACTCCTCACGCAATAACGAGACCCATTTTTATTCCTAGGTGGAGAGGCAAGTAGAGATTGAGCAGATTACCCAAGGACACAACACTTGATGAGCAGCTGGATTCGAACCCTGACAGTCTGATCATGAGTTCCAACCACTAGACTTCACTCCCCCCACAATGCCACGACACGCTGTGACCAAAACAGTGATCAACTAACTTACAGATGCATTTGGGCAGTCATCCCTCTCTGTAGGGTGAGCAAGTCTGTCTTGAAGCCGTCTATCAAAAGTGCCAGGGTAAGCATGTGAACCAGTACTTTTTCCTTGAGTTTCCTAGGAAAACATCTAGGAAAATTAAACAGACAGATGTGAAAACATACAGGAAAGTGAAAGTACAATCCGTCTATTTTCAGAGAAAAAGAATAATACTCCTCTAAAAAGGCCCTTTTGTATGTAAATAACCAGGATGTTCTTTAAAGATAAAATCATTTTCACCTTTGCATTCTAACCCCATCCACAGAGGCTGACATCTGAGTGAAAGTATCCAGGAGATGTTGGTTGAAGACATCTGGTAGGTCCTCCGCAACCACCACTTAATAAAAATATTGAAATAATTAGAGTTATTCATCCACTGAAAAATGCATTCTGGTGGCATTCAACAACAAAAAAGCTTTTCCCAAAGCACGATACAGGCACCATGTCAGGATTAAGGAACTGCATTTCTTCGCTAGATGTGAAAGAATCCCACAGGAATAAGTCTTCGGTCCATTTCTTTTTGCAATTTTGTTTTTAGTGCATAACTGAAAGTACAAACTTGAGTTCCCTGTTTTAACCATAACCGTCCCACACCCTCCGATTTCAATATGATTTTACACATTAGGGGGTTAGGGTTGTACCATTCAGTTTACCATCCTGGTGAGCACAGACACGTGGCTGAAAAACATGCAGTCTTCCTAATGATGATCTACCGAGTGCAAAATTTTCAAAACATATTTAACTCAAAGGCAACTCTTGCAACTACATGTACCAATTCATTTTATTGGGTTGGGTCACAAACTATAGCACCAAACCAATGGTAACAACTTGCATATTAAATGCCAGTGAAGTTTATGAAAGGATATCATTGTTTGGAAGAAGTACATATATGTTATCTTCACCTTTTTTAGCCCTGATCTCCTTAGCGGATATGGCATACAGCTTGCGCAAGTAGTGGATAAATACTAAGATGCACACTCTCTGCTGCCTTTCTTCTGCATCCTTTGGTAGATCCTCAAGATGGCCCAAAATATAGTCCGAGTACCTGGGGAAGGTTTGAGCATTTTTAGAGATGGATAAGGCTAAAACAAAAAGGGTCTTAAACACTGCCCACTGCCCCCCCCCCAACTGTTTGCAGGGCCTACAATGAGGTGGGGCTTCATGAATCGGCCTATTAATGGCTGAGTCCTGATGGTCCAACAACTGCACCCCCCCTACTGCCGCCGCTGGTTTCAAATGAAATCATTCTGCACCTTTTCCCCAAAAATTCAGCCATACTGTGCTTCTTACATATATGCTACTTTGAAAATGTTTTACTATTCTGTCCAAAATTCCTGTTGTAATATGACTTGAAACTCAAGTTAAAATTTGGGTCTAACTTTTGGTGATGTAAAAGTAATCTTTATATGGCTTCTGTCACACTAATTCACACTTACTTTCCCTCTTTTTTCCAGTCTGTAATTTGTTCTTTCGTAGCTTCCTCCAAGACGCTGATATCAGGCACCTGCTTCAGCATCTCCATACAAATTGGTGAAATGACTGACACAAAAGGTCAAGAAAAGAGCTAGTAAGCTTTGATCAAGCATGGTGAGTAACTGTCATGATTTCACCACAGATTGTCCATAACATTACTGGACTGATGCTGCATCCACGTTTCTCTCTTGTTCGTCTTTTCCAGCCATCCCTGCTTGCATGTTTCCTGTTTGAGTTGATGTCCCATAACATTTGGCTTTTTGAGGAAATTTCTGTTTGGATAGATATATTTTAAGCCCACTAACTTTCAGGATTTGTGTTTTTTGGGTTACTCCTGTCAGTAAACCATTCATAGTACGTTTTCTTTGAAACTTAAAATACTGAAGGTTTCCTTGAACTTTTAAATGATAAAGGATACTGTCCTCAAGGTTGTACACATCTTTCAAACTCTGTGCTACTTTATTACAAGGGGGAAGGATGCCCCTAGTGTCAGCCTCATCATCTGCAATAAAAAATGAAAAAAAAAACTTGTTTCCATTATTCCTTTATATTGGATAAATCTTCAATCTGCCTAGCTTTCCTCCTTTTGTTTATCCCACAATTCCTTGAATTTGCAGGGTTCCCTTTTCTCCATTCTTTGATGACATCCCCATTCCATCACTTTTCATTCTACAAAAACTCTAGTTTCACACAGATACGGCCAAAGAATGATGGTAACTCATAGACTACTATCCTACTTTTATAAATGTTCCGTGCCACCTTTTATCAATACAGTTGACTCTCATTATAAAGAACACGGTTATAACAAAATACTATTATAAGAACAGATTTCAGGAATCCCAATTTCTTGAATTGTTATGAGTTTCTTTGTTTTTACGCTCCTTCTACAACAAAGTCCTGGTTATTACAAAGTACTTGGTCTGGTCCCTTTAACTTTGTTACAACAAGAGTCGACTGTATATCACACAGGCATTGCTGTATTAGTTTCATTGCCATGAGCATAGTCTCGGCTCAAACCTGGATTTTTCAAAATTAAGCATATGGAAGTTGAATTATTGGACATCAGTGTGATGTGTGTATTTGTTTATAGGCACCTGTTATTGTATACAGTAAATGATACACATTTGGTATGCTATGAATTTGTCAGGTAGGCCTTCCAGATATGCAGAGCCTAGCTCTGGCTAGTCAGCTTTTCATAAGTGCTCCCTATTGTCAGAACAACTCGGCTGCACTGGCCAGGCAATCCAGTTTTGGCCAGGACTAATGAAGGTAATTCTAACCCTACCCGGCACCATTACAGTCTCCGGCTGTGATTGAGCATGCTTGACTGCCTTGCTGGCCAGCGTTTCCAGTGCCTGGGAGGTAACGGCACTGCGAAGCCGTGATTCCAATGCACGCTGCTTGCGTGAACTGCCAAAGGCTTCTGTCAACCTGTCGTTCTGACACACAAAAAGACACACAAAATTCCACCTCAAAGATCTTTTCAATCACTTCCTACAACAAAAGTTCTTGATCCTAACCAAGAATCCTGCTTATGACTCAGAGGCAAAAAGGAAAGCCGTTAAAATGTCTGTAATGGCTCTGAAGATTTTGGCCAACAGCACGACAGAGTTTAAGTAGGCAAAGACCAAACCTGGATTCTGAGTTTCAGGAAATAACTACTTGCATTGAGTGTAACATGCAATGCAAATATGTTCTTTCAAATACAGAAGGAACCTTCAGTGTGCATAAATAAATGGTGCCCCTGACGGTCTGTAAACAATGGGAACACCATGATTATATTTAAACATGAATACACACCTTTTGTAAAAAGGTCAGTTCTTCTTTGCCAGTTACATTGGCACTTTCCTCCTCTCCCCTAGTCTGTCCAAACCATGGCCTCAGGTGGAACGACTGCGTGTCATATATTTTCATTTTACCCGTCTTCTTGTCAAGGACACCGACTAAATATCTTGGGGGAAAATGATATGGAAAAAAATTACATGTGTATGCATGTGATATTAATTTTTCTGTGTACTTTGAGTTTTTAGTCCTAACAAATATCACTTTGGTTTTGCATTTTTGCTTCTCAAATCAATAAAATGTAGATGTGTTTACAATGTACTCACTTGCAGTTGGAGGTGTGTTTAGGTGCATGTATGCCGTAATTCTGCCCAACATAATGCATGGTGTTTGACTCGGCAACCTGCAAAGAACACGACAGATCAATAAATCTAACCATGCATGTAGGGTACAACCAGTTTGGAAAGAGATTTTTAAAAGTTCAGACGGAGTTCAATTTGTCAGTCCATAACAATGTTAACTGATCATAAGCCTTAATCGGGTGCTACGTGTCACCAATCAGGACTAGGTAACTACAAGAATGTTGTTTTCTTCCCAAGTAAAAGGGACTGGGAATAAGATAACTGGTAGGGAACACTCACAAGTTCCTCAATGGGCCTCTCTGCACCCACCAGTGTATTAGGATTGATTCAGATCTTTGGAACTCTCAGTACTGTCCAAATGTATAAGAATTACAGAATTAAAAAAATACATCCAGGCAGTATGACAATGCTAGACCACTATGTATCCAGTGTAAAGACCTTATAAAGTTGTTTAAAGAATGTACATAAAAGTTTGCCTGATTTTGACCTTTTTGGTTGCCCTGAGAGGTCTTCATAGAGGATGGGTTTACATCAGCCAATAAATTAATCAGTTTGCAAGACGCAATGAACGCTACATGACAATATTCAGCACTTGAGAATAACCACTCAGTTTGAAGAAATTAGGTCTGTAAATTACATTTAGATATGAAAATTTGGAGCCGCAATTCCTCACAAAATGAAACTTACTTCCATGTTAGTACTTACAAGTATTCGCTGGTTCTTCTTCCGATGATCTCCTTGGTCTGTGTGCTTATAGTACTTAAAGTTAAGAGTCTGGCAGGGGCCACTCTCCTCGGCCACATTCAGCCGCCCATGGTTGAAATTTGCTGGAAAATTTACAGTTGTCAGGGGTAGTAAACTTACAAATATAAAGTGTAGCACATTGCACTAACTACATTGGGTTTAAACATGACCATTTGGTTTGTCGTTGATTCGATTAGTGCACCAATAAGCTCTGGCAATTTAGCAACTTTATCCAAACGTGTATTTTAACACTGTATACTCAGTGTATGCCCCCGAAGGCTTGTGAAAAAAACCACAAGCATACTCGGGTGGGACTCAAACCCACGACCTCAAGCTCACTAGTGCAGACGTCTTAACCACTCGACCACTGAGCTTGCCGGTGTTGGCTGGCTGGTTCGAATCGGGTGTAGCAGCGGGTACCGCGAATAACTATTTCAAAGATGGATTTCAAAGATGAAGCTTGCCTTCGGCATTTAAGAAAGACATCAGGTGGTGAAAAAGGTGTTTTGAAACCCGTTAGTATGACCAATCCCGTCCAAAATTGAAAAAGAGGAATACTGAGGCTCCACTTAGCAGGTCGGGGACCAAACCACAAGCGAGCCACGTCCCTGGCAAGAATGGCAACATTTTCATGCATAAAGTGAACTTCGGCAAAGCTTTATTTTTTTCATGTAAACATTTTCATGAGCAGAATTGGACTCGCCTGCCCACCGAATTCAACACATCCAGTGCAAGATTCAACTGAAAAATTTCCTCATTCAGCTTTTATAGATCCCAAATGAAAGGAAAGTTTCATTTAGATCTTGGGTAGCATGTTTCCTGTAAATTTGATCAATTACAGCAATATGTATTGAAGTTTTTGGCCGATAAAGAGATTGATGTCATCTGCGAACCGTGATCTAAAAATAGTTTTAAAATTACATCATCATTGCACAAACAAGCAGCATACACATATGCATAGTCTGGCATCATTGCTAGATTGTGGTTTGGTCCCCGACCTGCTTAGTAGAGCTATCGTCTGAACAACTCGACCGTTTGCCAACTCAACTTTGGACAACTCGACCGTTGAGACAACACGACCATCCATATATAAAAGGGAGAGACAAGTCGCTCGGATCTTGCACCCACGATGCACATATAATGGTCCGTAGGCCAATATGTATTACAGTTGTTTTCCTAGTTTCGAATCGCTTGAAATAAAGCCTACCTCCTTGGTCTTGTCCTTCAGTTCTACATTCTCAGACAGGTTCTGGTTAAAAAGTGAACTTTATGTAAACTTCTTCTTGAACAAAACTTGCTCTCGGAAAATTTCCATAAAAGAAATTTTTGCCAGAATTCTGATTCCCACTTGGACATTTTGGTGGGTAGCGGGGAAAAAATGATGCAAAGTTATCGGGCGAATATGTCACTCACTATGAGTGATCCCAAATACTTTTTTCATACTCAACAGTCATATGAACTTTTTCATCTAATGTCTGTTTAATCAAAATGACTTTCAAAGTTGCGTTTTATTAAACTGGCGAAAACTGAACACATATTGTTTCCTAGTTTTGGATCACGCAATATACTTTGCGAACGGACGTTGCAGAAATGTACGTGATGTACGTCGACTGTGCAGTACGACTCTTTGAGGTACATGTAGTATCGTTGATGACTCGCGCCGTGCAGCTGAAAAAGTTGAGTCAATATTTACACAAGATCCTTTTTTTATTCATGGGAATTCTTATTCATGATCCAAGTTTTTATAAACTGAGAAAATTTTTATTAGAAAATAAGCTTTTTACAATGGTTCTGGCTGAAAATTGATTTGCCGCTCGCATGGTTACTTTTCCGGAAACCGATCCAGAACAAGAAAAAGTGTCACCACTTTCGCCGATCCTGTAGGCCTACGTCCGAATCACAAGTTTAAAATTTGAAACTGATTTGGTGGTAACAATGGTATCTCTATCACACAAGGTGGACGTTGACCACATTTCACTGGAATTTGAAAATTTTTGTAGAGCTGCAATCTGATTGAATAATTTTTGCGATCATGAAAACGACTGTATTATGTGAACAGATCTCACTGGTCGAGTTGTCTCTCTGTCAAAGTCGAATTGTCCAAACGGACGACTTGGCAAACGGTCGAGTTGTCTCAACGGTCGAATTGTCCGAAGTCGAGTTGGCAAACGATCGAGTTGTCTGACATCCGAGCTATCCACAGCCCTACGTCACATGTGGAGCCCGGCTAGGGGTAGGCCTAAGTTAGTAGGTAAGCCTTGAGCGAAATAACAAGGCAATTATGACAGTAAATTTCTAAGAATTAGCCTGAATTCTCAAAGTGTATAATCTCCAAACAATCTGGCCCTGTAAAAAGAACAGACAAATTTGATTCATACCGAGAATGAGACCATCCTTTCCTTCGTTTTCGCACGGAACATACCGCATGGAGGCTGCCATCTTGAAATTTTATAGACTGGTTCCCGCACAAGATAACCACAAACGTATTTCCCATGAAAACCGGTTCGAATTGGGACCAGTGATCCGCTGTTCATTAAAGGCGCCCTCTAACATCTATTTTGAGATGTGGAGAAAATTTATTAAAGTTCGCTATTAAAATTTACCATAGCGCCCTCTGCTGATCATCCCTTCCCTAATACTAAAAACTATTCATGTTTTTTTCTGGCTCTCAAAGTCTTGGACCTAAATTTAAAACGATCTAACAGCCAAGTAACAGTGACTTTACTCGAAATCACTCTTCTACTGATGCAGAGACTAAGTTGCTTTATGCTCTTTCCCCCCTACTTGCTAAGCTCAGATAATGCGGTGGCAGAACGCGGTCTCTTCGGCTGCCAAATTTATATGTACATGTACTAGTGTGTAACTTAAGCTGAAGAATGTGCATGTGAGTACGCCACGGTGCCGGGGCCACAGCAGTTAACGCGTCTAGTTTATGGACGGTCTGTTTTATTAGTTCGTTCTTGGCGAAACCACCAACTCAACCGCCTGTAGACGAGTACAACTTTCCAAGGACGCTGTCTAACCGCAATTCTGACTGAATTAGGACCCAATGTTTCTTGCCTTTTGTAATAAAAGATTTACCACTACCAAGGAGAAAGGAAAAGATAAGCATATAATGTCTTAACAATTATAAAGAATCTTTTGCAGAGTTCGGCAGCCCGCGCGCCAACTGGCATTGTTGTATATATGTATGTATAAAACTGGGAAAGGCGAAAATTGGTTTGTTGATGTCTCCCCGGGTCAAGCTACAGAATACCTACGAGGAGCTGGCGGTGCACAGCAAATTGCCGTTTATTCTTTTATCTATCCAGGGTAACCTAAATAGCCAAAGCTGGTTTTCATTAGGGCCATGCAAACAAAAATAAGCTAATTAATAAAGACATTCTTCCTGTGAAAATAAAGAAAACAAGATGAGCAAAAATACATAAGACGTCAACAAAAATGGTTAAGAAACATAAAATGCAAAAATTATTGGTTATAACAAACACAAACATAGCAAAGTGACATATTTACATGTAAGTGGGGCTTAAAAGTATTAAAATAACTACAGGTAACTAAAAAGTTCAGTCTTTAAAACAGGAAGGAGGCGCGTAGCTCTAAGCTGGACGGGCAATTTAAACTTTTCCAAATTTGTGCCCCGTTAGTATATCACAACTTCTTCCCCGTTACAAGTTCGACCAAGTTGATTGGTGGACGTGTTCCGCCATTTAACATAAATAGCAATACTCTAGAAAAAAAGTCAGTTCTTGGAATTTTCATTTCCCTAAAATCTCCAGACTGAATGACCTTTACCACAAAATGGGGTTTTCATTTAACTTCTCACTTCCCTGCGGCAAGTGCAACTGAACTGCCTACTGCGGGGTGCATGATCAGTTTAACTGGAACTTGGAAGACTTTGGACCAAGAGAAGCAAGGTAGCCACTACGGGCAGCCCGTGGTAGTATATGTACATGTACGTCGAGTCGCAACTTCCGTGCTTTGAGTTGCAGCGTGACGAAAAAGCAACAGAGGTTGTGACATCCCAAGGTCAGCAATAATAATACGTCCCGGACCCTCACGTACATCATGCCTGCCACGCGTGAAACCACAATATAAACAACAGACGCCGAGCGTGCACATATAAGGCTGGTGACTCTACGGACTATAGCGAATACGATAAGATTTCTTGTGGGTACCATACAGTATGCTGACAGGCGATCTTCGGAAAATATGGTCGACTCTACGCATATTGCGAACCTTTGCAGTTTAAACAACTGCTCCATTGTTCCATGTACTTGCTTAAAGACTTATTTTTTGCACTCGGTAGTTCACTTATAGAAGGAGTTTGTTCCTTAACTCAGGCCGCGGGAGAAGAGAAAAACGCGCGCTGAAGATGGCCGTACACATCGATACAGGAGACAAGACATTGGATGAAAAGATAGAACAGTGGCTGGAATGGGATAAGGTAAAAAGACGATGCCACACTATCAATACTATAGTAGGCCTACACCAAGCATTAACTATGTAGTTGGCCCATAGAGCTATATATAAAAACTAAAGCGCTGTCTCATGTGCAAAGTGGTGCCTGCTGGGCGCTTCCATGTTTGTGCACAAACCTATGGAAAACTCAACATTTGTACAGCTGCGTTTGTCTATTTGCATATCTGCATCTTATTCTAAAATGATACGTCATTAATATGCCAATACACGAACAACAGAACACGTAATCAGTAAATGAGCTTTTCATTTTACTCTGCGCCAAAAAACACAAATGTGTGCACGTATGCACTGCACATGAAGTTTGCTGTGACGTTTTTAAATTGGATTTGGTACCCAGCTGCCGCTCCAGAGCCGTCAACTCAACACTGACTAAACTAAGGGAAAGACTTTTTGATTTAGCTGAACTTATTCATCAAAAGACAATTATCAAAAGAGACGCATACGAAATCGGACGAACTTGCTCGAATGTTAGGGACACATTCCTTTTAAAATAATCAGCTGTGGATGAAAATAAGCATGTGCCATTGCCAAGTTGGCCAATTTCATATGCATCTCTTTTGATGCCTGTCTTTTGATGAAGATTACGTGCTTTGGAAATGATACTTCCAGAAATCGCCGATAACTCCCAAACATCTAGGCCTACCTTGTACATATACGAGTTGGAGTGCAGATTCACCCAACCTCGACTCCATGGTGTAGCAAAATTTAGCCCATGGGAACGAGGTTGAGATTCACCAAACTGTTAGCGTGTTTGCGTAAGCGCGTGCATAAACCTGTGGGAAAACAGAGCAGCCGGCAAGGCGGCAACCACAATAGCTTTGTACAATGTGGCTGCAGCCACAGCGTGTAATTCAGATGCAGCCTCGACCTCTGCTGCATGCTGGATCAGTACTCAATAGCGGCAGCCATTCCCATCAGATACTGATTTCATTTCACAGAGCTACAGCACCGTCACCCTCTCTGAGACAACCCTCCTATTTTCGCCTGGCTGTACAACCCCTACCTCCTTTTCTGATGAATGATTTGCCTGTGTAAAACCCTCTTGTACAGGAGATGAATTAAACTCATTTCATTGAGGAAACTGCTCTTTATTTAATATTTTCCAATCCAGCAAAGATGTACAATATGTTGAACTGAACAAAAAAAAATTTTCTTTTTTAATGTATAAGACTGATCTTCAGTGAGATCATGACTGCTGAAAAAGCATAGATTAAAGATGCTACATTCATGACATTCTTGCCTCAGGTGCTTAGAGCAATCGGACAACGGTGCAATTTGGCCAATTATACTCATCAGGTGTATTTGCGTGATTGTTAGATCTTGAATTTGAAAGGAACAGTGATTGGCTAACATGGCTAATGCAGACCTGCCAACCTGTCATACTCTTTCCTGGAGTCAGGCAATACCTTGAATTTGAATTATCCCTCAGTTCATTTAAAAATTCTAATCTATTATGTGGTGATGCCTGACCTCAGAAGGCAGAACGACAGGTTGGCAGGTATGGTAATGGTGGAATTACCGTCAAATCCTGCATATAGAGTGGTTGCACCCAGCATACGTACATGTACGCCGCATACATATATGTACACGTAAGGTGATGGATGTGAAATGTGTGATTGGTGGTGAGTAGATGCTCATGGCCAAATGTTGGCCAAATATGGAGGTTCACACACTACCTGAGGATATTTTGAATTTAAAAGAAGTAGCATTATGCTGCTGATTAGGTTGTGTACACATTATTGAGACAGTTTCTAGTTTTTTTAAGTAATCCGACATGTTATTGGGTATTTTTCCAGCATATTTGTGTCTGATATTGATTTATCGGAGTGCTGAATAAAAAAAAGTTGTCTTCTCATTGTCAAATGCTATTTAGTAACCCAACCCTCGTGCCTTGGCTAGAAACCCTCCTGAATCCCTTCTGATTCTTGCCACTCAGGAAACCAATGCCACAGTATTCAGGCTTGTACCAATGCAGTTAACACTTTGGCATCATGCCGTTATCCACGGAGATGTCATTCCTGCAGGGCCATCACACTCAAGCATAAGTTTTAACTTGAGCCTCTGCATTCATTTTGACAAGTCACAACACCCTACCGAACAGGACGGCCCCGCAGTAATCGCTTCCAACTCTTTCCACTGGATTAGTCTATAGAAAGGGAAGGAAGACAGCAAGGCTCCACCTTACTCCAACTGTGCAAACTCTTCCAAACCTTGAAAATGGAGTTTGAAGGATTTTGGAGGGTCAGAGTGAGCATTTTCAATGCGATAACTTATAATAACTTGTGAAGTTGTGGCCAAATTCTGTTACCAGAAATGCACTGTCCTCCTGATGCACTGTCTGCCATGCATACCCAGCAGGAAGTTCATATTGTGTAGTGTTCACTTTAATCTCATACTGGTACCTTTTTACTGAGCACTTGATATTGCACTTCAAAACAAAGTTCAAAAAATTGAAAACCCACATTTGTTTTCGTTTGGTTAGTTTGCTTTTTGATTTCTTGTTTATTTGTTTGTTTGTTTGTTGGGGTGTTGGGGTGTTTGTTTGTTTGTTTGTTTGTTTGTTTGTTTGTTTGTTTATTGGGATTTTTATTTTGTTTTTGAAGACCTCTGTCTATCAGGTACTCAGGTTATCTCTTTCTTTTTACCTTTCCAGAACATGGTAACAAGACAGGAAGTTGTTGAACTAGTCAGTAATCACAGCACTAAGGAACTCCATGAGCGATTCGATAAGAGGATCTCTTTTGGCACAGCAGGTTTGGATGTCGTTGCACGCAATTAGTTTCTACATTTTTTCCCCAAAGTCAAAAGAACACATAAAAAATGCACTAAGTGTATGAGCTTAGTGTCATTAGTGTTCATTATTCAATTTTAACTTGCATATCTCCTTCAGAATTCAAAATGTGCATTTGAAAGATTTCACAGGGTTGGGGAAAGTACAGTCAAGCAACTGTCAGTTTACAGATGCTTCAGAGTGTGACATTGTGTTTCTTGCANAAATTATTAACCAACACCGACTTAAATTATTAACCAATACCGACTTAAATTTTTAACCAACACCGACTTAAATTTTTAACCAACACCGACTTAAATTATTAACCAATACAGCACTAGTAAATAGTCGCAAAATTAAAGCAATCAAGCAAGAAACCAAGTTCACAGCAGACCAAAGCTGTAGGCAGAAGTTGCTTAGTAAAAAAAAGAGAGAGCTGTTAATGTGGATGCTGTGGTCTCTCTTGCTGCCGGTCCACATCTGATTATACCTAAGGAACTCACATGCATCAGGTCTTGTGCAATGGGGCATGACAGGATATTTACTCTGGGGATTATTTTGGAAAGGGGGGGGGGAACCACTCCCAGCAAATTCAGGGCAAGCTAACAAGAAATTCAATGTTAAAAGCAGGGGGACAACTCCTATATACAAGCAGGTAAGCAAAAACAACTAAGTGAAAAGAGTCCCCTCTACATCAGCACCCTACTGAACAGAATGGCCCCGCAGTAATGGCTTCCAACTCTTTCCACTGGATTAGTCTATAGTAACGGAAGGAGGGCAGCAAGGTTCCACCTTACTCCAACTGTGCAAACTCTTCCAAACCTTCAAAATGGAGTTTTAAGGATCTGGGAGGGTCAGAGTGAGCATTTTCAATGCGATAACTTATAATAACTTGTGAAGTTGTGGCCAAATTCTGTTATCAGAGATGCACTCTCCTCCTGATGCACTGTTGGCCATGCATACCCAGCAGGAAGTTCGTATTGTGTAGTGTTCACTTCAATCTCATACTGGTACCTTTTTACTGAGCACTTGATATTGCACTTCAAAACAAAGTTCAAAAGATTGAGAACCCACATTTGTTTTCGTTTTGGTTAGTTTGCTTTTTGATTTCTTGTTTATTTGTTTGTTTGTTTGTTTATTGGGATTTTTATTTTGTTTTTGAAGACCTCTGTCTATCGGGTACTCAGGTTTTCTCTTTCTTTTTACCTTTCCAGAACATGGTAACAAGACAGGAAGTTGTTGAACTAGTCAGTAATCACAGCACTAAGGAACTCCATGAGCGATTCGATAAGAGGATCTCTTTTGGCACAGCAGGTTTGGACGTCGTTGCACGCAATTAGTGTCTACATTTTTTCTCCAAAGTCAAAAGAACACATAAAAAATGCACTAAGTGTATGAGCTTAGTGTCATTAGTGTTCATATCTCCTTCAGAATTCAAAATGTGCATTTGAAAGATTTCACAGGGTTGGGGAAAGTACAGTCAAGCAACTGTCAGTTTACAGATGCCCCATGTGCCATTGTGCTTCTTGCT